CGGCCGGTTGCAGTCTCCCTGGCTGACCCCTCTGGGGGTCCTGTCCTCTCTCACTTTTCCACTGTCCTCCCGTGTCCGGCTGCCCCCTCGGGCACCCTGTCTGGCCTGTACCTCCCCTCGTTCTCGACGAACTTGGTGAGTGGTGCAGACCTGCAGGATGCGGGGGTTCACCAGTTCACTCCTGCGAGTCAGCGGGTGACCCACTGCACGGACGCACGCACAGGCCGGCACCTGGCCACGTTCTCGCGTCGGCCGGGGTCGAGCCTCTACACCCTGACCACTGAGTCTCCTCCTGTCCCTGCGTCCGGTCAGGTAGCAGCGTCAGGTCAGGTGTTTGCTGCTGCGTCCAGGTCTGGTCCTGAGTCTGCCCCCTGTTCGTGTCGCCTCCTGTCTCACGAGACTCTCCTGTGGCACCACCGTCTTGGCCACCCCTCCTTGCCCCGTCTTCAGGGCATGGCTTCCCGTGTCCTTGTCTCTGGTCTTCCCCAGTCTCTCCCTCCCCTTCCTTCGGGACCTGGACCTTCCTGTGTCCCGTGTGTCGAGGGGCGCCTCAGGGCTGCTCCTCACTCCTCCCTGTTTCCCCCGACAGAGGCTCCTCTGCAGACACTTCACATGGACGTGTGGGGCCCGGCCCCCGTCCGTGGGCAGGGTCACGAGCGCTACTTCCTGTTGCTGGTTGACGACTACTCGCGTTACACCACAGTCTTCCCCTTGCGCAGCAAGGGTGCTGTCACTGAGGTGCTGATTGTTTGGATCCGCGAGGCTCGTCTCCAGCTCAGGAGGAGCTTTGGCTCGGACTTTCCTGTTCTGCGTCTGCACTCTGACCGAGGTGGGGAGTTCTCCTCTCGCCTTTTGCGAGACTACTGTCGTGCACAGGGGATCCGCCAGACCTTTACGCTTCCGGACTCTCCACAGCAAAATGGGATTGCTCAGCGCCGCATTGGCATGGTCATGGATGTCGCTCGTACGTCCATGATGCATGCGGCTGCCCCCCATTTTCTGTGGCCATTTGCGGTTCGGTACGCGGCGCATCAGCTCAACCTTCACCCCAGGGTCTCTCGGCCCGCGATGTCCCCAGTGTTACTGTGGACGGGGAAGGTCGGCGATGCGTCTGCGTTCCGTGTCTGGGGATCTCGGGCGTTTGTCCGCGACTTGTCTGCGGACAAGCTGTCCCCCCGTGCTGCTCCCTGTGTCTTCCTTGGCTTCCCCCCTGACGCTCCAGGGTGGCAGTTCTACCACCCCTCCTCTCGTCGTGTTCTGTCCTCCCAGGACGTCACGTTCGACGAGTCAGTCCCCTTCTACCGCCTCTTCCCCTACCGTACTCCTTCCCTCCCCCCCCCACCGGACTTCCTGGTGCCAGTTCCCCCCCCGGTAGACCCCCTCCCCCCTCAGGTTCCTGCCCCTTCAGGTGTGTCCCAGGTAGACACAGTCGAGCCAGTCGAGGTTGCTGCTGAGTCTGGTCCTACTGCGGGTGCAGAGTCTGGGGGTGCTACGCCTGCGGGTGCTGAGCTTGGGGGTGCTGCTGCTGGGGGTGCTGAGCCTGGGGGTGCGAGGCCGGGGGGTCCTAAGCTTGGGGGTGCTGCTGCTGGGGGTGCTGAGCCGGGAGGTGCTATGTCAGGAGCTGCTGAGCCTGGGGGTGCTGAGCCTGGAGGTGCGGAGCCTGCGACTGCTGGACCTGGGGGCTCTCCGGTTGCTCCGTCTCGGCGGGAGCCGCTCTCTCCACAGGAGCTGCGCGAGTGGTTTGCTCGCCGCTGGAGGCGTGCTGCTGGAGCTGGAGCTCCTTCGACTGGTGAGGGTGCTGGTGCTGCCGGTCCCGGAGCTGCTAGGCCTGCGGGTCCTACTGGAGCTGGAGCTGCTGAGCCTGGGGGTGCTGAGTCTGGAGCTGCTAAGCCTGGGGGTGCTGAGTCTGGAGCTGCTGAGCCTGGGGGTGCTACGTCTGGAGCCGCTGAGCCTGAGGTTTCTCCTGGTGCTGCGTCTCGGCGGGAGCCCCTCTCTCCACAGGAGCTGCGCGAGTGGTTTGCTCGCCTCTGGAGGCGTACTGCTGGAGCTGGAGCTTCTTCGACCGTCGAGGGTACTGGTGCCGCCGGTCCCGGAGGTGCTACGCCTGCGGGTCCTATTGGAGCTGGGGCTGCTGAGGGCGTTGGTGCTGAGTCTGCTGCTGTCTGTCCTGACGGTGGTTCTGCTGCTGGTGCTGCTGGAGGTCCTGCCGCTGGAGGTGTTGGTGGCGCTGGTGCTGCCGCTGAGGGTGCTGGTGCTGTCCCTGCTGAGTCTGGAGCTGCCGCGCGGCCTCGGCCGTACTTCGTTCCGCTTCTGCAGCAGGTTCTTGGTCTTTCTCCTCCGGTAGAGTGTCCACAGCCTGTCCAGTCGCAGTCACTGTTGGAGCCTACCTCCCCACTGCCTGCTCCCTCTCCTTACACTGGTCCTACTAGAGGTCTTGCTGAGCGTCGTGAGCCTGCGTCTCGTCCCGCGTCGCCTGTTCGTGCTGCCCGCGCTAGTGGTCGTGGTTCGGGTCCGCGTCCTCCTCCTGTCCCTGGCACGCACCGGATGTCTCTGCGTCCGTCCACTGCTCCTCTGCGTGCCCTTTTGCCTTCTCCTCGTGAGTCCTCCCTTCCTGTGCTTACCGACCCAGAGTCGGACTCCCTTCGTGCTGCCAGTCCTACTGTCACGCGTCTGCTTGCTACTGTCGTCACTGACCCCTCTTTTGAGTCCGCTGCTGCGTCTGCTCTTGTCGCTGAGCTCGTCGACTTTGCTGCTCGCTGTCGTCTAGACTACGCTGCTAGTCTTGTTGCTGAGTCTGCGTCTGTCTGTCCTCCGTCCGTCAAGGGTGAGTGTGCTCTTGGCACGGACGTCCTAGAGGACAGGCAGGAGGAGTTCCAGTGTCTGGCTGCTGCTTCACCTCATCTCGCGTCTGTACTGCTTGCTCCTGAGGGAGACCCGGATGCACTAGACATCCCGACTCCGCGCTCTTACGCGGAGGCCGTAGAGGGTCCCTACTCCTCTCAGTGGCAGGCAGCTATGGATGCAGAGATGGCTTCCTGGAAGTCCACAGGCACCTACGTTGACGCGGTTCCCCCTCCTGGGGCGAACATCGTCAGTGGCATGTGGATCTTCAGGGTGAAGCGGTCGCCGGGCTCTCCACCTTTCTTCAAGGCGCGGTACGTCGCTCGTGGCTTCAGGCAGCGGCAGGGAGTTGACTACTTTCAGACCTTCTCTCCCACCCCGAAGATGACCACTCTTCGGGTGCTGCTGCACATAGCCGCTCAGTGCGACTACGAGCTTCACTCTCTCGACTTCAGTACTGCGTTCTTGTAGGGCAGCCTGCACGAGGAGATCTTGCTGCGCCGTCCACCTGGCTTCACTGGGACTTTCCCTCCTGGCACCCAGTGGAGCCTCCGACGGCCAGTCTACGGTCTCCGCCAGGCACCACGTGAGTGGCACGACACACTGAGGACTACGCTTGCGGCCCTTGGGTTTGCTCCTTCTACTGCTGACCCGTCGCTGTTTCTGCGCACCGACACCTCTCTGCCGCCGTTCTACATCCTCGTGTACGTCGACGACTTGGTCTTTGCCACAGCGGACACTGCTGGACTCGCCTACGTGAAGTCCGAGCTGCAGAAGAGACACACGTGCACAGACCTGGGTGAACTGCGCAGCTACCTTGGCTTGCAGATCACTCGGGACAGAGTACGCCGCACCATTACCTTGACTCAGTCACACATGGTGCAGCAGGTCCTTCAGCGCTTCGGCTTCACGTACTCCTCGCCTCAGGCCACTCCTCTGTCTACTCGTCACTCGCTCTCAGCTCTGCCTTCGGATGAGTCCGTAGAGTCGAGTGGCCCGTACCCAGAGCTTGTTGGCTGCCTCATGTACCTGATGACCTGCACACGACCTGACCTTGCATACCCTCTTAGCATTCTTGCACGCTATGTTGCTCCTGGGAGACACCGACCAGAGCACATGGCTGCAGCGAAGAGGGTATTGCGCTTCCTGTGCAGTACGTCAGGCATGGGGCTAGTGCTTGGAGGGCGGAGTCCAGTGGTACTTACAGGTCACGCGGACGCTTCTTGGGCTGACGACCAGGCTACGCAGCGGTCGTGACAGGGTTACACCTTCAGCCTTGGCTCTGGTTCTGTCTCGTGGCGGGCTACTCGCTCGTCTTCGATTCTCAGCTCGAGTTGTGAGGCTGAGATCTACGCAGGGGCCATGGCTGCACAGGAGCTTCGCTGGCTCACCTACCTGCTGACTGACCTTGGAGAGCCGCCTCGTTCTCCTCCAGTGCTGTACGTAGACAACAAGGCCATGCTGGCCTTGTGTCGAGAGCAGCGTCTGGAGCACAGAACGAAGCACATTGCTCTTCGCTACTTCCTTGCTCGTGAGCTACAGCAGCGTGGACAGTTGCGGCTTGCGTACGTGGCCTCTGAGGCCAACACTGCTGATGTGTTCACCAAGGCACTCGCGCCTTGTGACCATCAGCGCTTCTGCACCCAGCTGGGTCTTGTGCCTGTCTTGCCTCACTTGCTCTCCTCTTGACTTTACTTGTACTGTCACATATATATACCTGCTCTTGCTTGTCTAGCTTTATATATATATGTGTGTACTCCTGCATGTGAAGTGGCCTTGTTGCCTTGCTCTTGTGCTCGGACTGTGTGGTGACTTTCTGATCCACCCTGAGCTTTGCTTTGCTTTGCTTGACTGGTCTTGTGACCCCTTGTTCTCCCCCACTTTGCCTATGGGGGTGTGTCAGAACATATATGTAGCTTATGCTGTTGTGTTGGCTATAGTGGGGTATCCCATAGGGGGTACAACCCAATTAGGGTTTTGCTATTTGTACTCACTTCACTCATAGTTCATTCATTCTCGTTCTATTCTCCACAAAATCGGTCTGTTACAACGGCACTACCCACTCTGGAGCGAGGGAAGTGCTGACGGCGGCGACGGAGTACTTCAGGAACTCGTTCGGTGGGGGCGATACGGACTCTCACGGGACGGAGCCGCAGGTTATGGACCGGGTGCTATGCGATGCAAGCCGCCGCGCCCTTGGAGCGCCATGGTCGGAGGAGGAAGTTCGGGCAGCGGTGCGTGAGCTGGCTCCGGGGAAGTCGCCGGGACAAGATGGGCTCCCCAAGGAGCTGTTCGAACACAACTGGGATTTGTTCGGGCCGGTGCTGATGCAGTTCATAGAAAGCTTCACGCGAACGGCAAAGCTACCACGAGAGGTCTCAACTGCGGTCACGATCCTGTTGCACAAAAAGGGGAGCAAAGAGAAGTTAGGGAACTACAGGCCCATTACTCTGCTTAGCACAGTTTACAAGGTGCTGGCGAAGGTGCTGGCCTCAAGGCTTAAAAAGGTGCTGCACGAGGTGATCTCGGAAGATCAGGCGGGCTTCCTACCTGGTCGAAGACTGGCGGATGCAGTTGCTGTGGTCGCGGACGCTATTGAGGCAGGCGCAAGCGATGAGAAGGACTGGTACCTTCTGATGGTCGACTTCCAGAAGGCGTTCGACTCCATCTCAAGGGCCTTCCTTTTCCGCACGCTGAGAGGGATGGGGGTCCCGGAGCGGTTTGTGTCTTGGGCGGAGGGCCTGCACACAGGAGCAGGAACAAGGTTACACGTCAATGGTTGGACGGGAGAAAGGGTCGCGGTGGAAAAAGGGGTGCGTCAAGGCTGCCCGCTAGCACCGTACCTCTTCTTGTGCGCGGTGGAGCCGCTCTGTCAAGACATTGCGAGACGCCGGCTGGGAGTAGGCGAAGAAGGCGCGGTGAAGCTAGCTTACCTGGGTTATGCCGACGACACGTCGCTGGTGCTACAGGGAGAAGAGCAGCTGGTTGCAGCGGCTGATGTGCTGGAAAAATTCGGGAAAGCGTCAGGGCTGAAAGTAAACAAGGATAAGACGGTGGTCTTCCCACTCGGGAGGAATAGGGGGAAGTCCCCGCCGTCAGACCTGCAGTTTAAGTGGGCGGATACGGCAGTACCGGAGAGGCTGCTCGGTGTTTGGATCACCCCGAACGGTGACCCGCTTCCGTCCTGGGAGAAGGCTTTGGACAGGGCAAGGAAGGAGCTAGCCAAATGGGAAATTCAACATTTAACGACATCGGCGAGGGTCACGATTATCAACGGATACATAACGCCTATCTTCATGTTCCAGGCATACATTTACCCGCCGCCGGAGGGAATATGGACGAAGGTCAAGCGGATCTGTCACCACTTCGTGTCGGGAGGTGAAGCGACGGAGGAAAAGGCCTTTGTCCTCTGGAACTACGAGCTGGTCTGCACGCCTCGTGAAGAGGGAGGGTTGGGGATGATCTGCCCCAAGAAGCGGTTCGACAGCATAGCGGTGCAGAATGTTGGCCGCATGATGCTGCAGACAAACCCCGTTAAGAAATGGCTGACGGAAAGAGCGGCGGCGATGCCTCTGGGCCCGGACACAATCTATGCCCACCAGTACCTGCTGAAGCACTGGGAAGAGGGAAGCAAGCGCTGGAAGGACATGATGCTGGCCTTCTGGAAATCACCTTTCTGCGTCACCCCGGAGCCAAGTAACCGCTGGGAAGCGGAGCGGGAGCAGCTGGCTTTTAACAGACGAATACCTTTCAGGGGGGCCAGCCCGTTCGGAAACCAACAAGGCTCGGCGAAGCTACTGGGCGTAACTCTAGGCGACCTGGTCTGGCGTCGGGCGGATGGATCACGGGAGCGGAAGTGTGTGGAAACTCTGACGTGTGAGCTCGATAGCGTTGATACGGCGAAGTTGGCGCTGAAAGCTTTCATGGCGGCGCCTGCTGGATGGAGAGACATGATACTGGCGACGTTGACAAGCGAGGAGCTCGTGGCTAAGGTCCCGCTACTGCGATATCAGGGGTGTATCTCTGCGGCCCCGTCGCTTTGGAAAGTTAGCGGCGCTGCCAGCGGCAGAGTGACGGGTGTGGCGTGCCGGGAAAGCAAGGACGGTACTTTCACGGTCGGGGACGGGAAATATCCTGTAAATTTCGGGCTGCACAGCGGGGAGCCGGTAGCAGCACAGGGTGATAAGGTACTGGGGCTCATGGGGGAGGCACGAACGAAGCTCCTACAGTCCAAGCTAACCAAGGATGGAGGGCTTCTGGCACTAAAGGAGATCAGGAAGGAGCTGGTAACCTCAGCAGGCGTCGTAAAGGAGCAGCGGAGGTGGATTGGTGATGGGAGGATTATTGAATGGGAGAGGGTCATCAAGCAGAGGGACTCTCTTGCCACCCCTGCTCGGGCAAGAGAAATCCTGCTAAGGTTGCACTGCAGGAATTTACAAGTGGGAGAACGGCTCTTCTTCATGAAGGAAAAAGTGGTCTGCCCACACTGCAAAGCAGAGGAGACACCGGAGCATTGCCTGCTCGGCTGCCCGGCGATTCAGAGGATAGTCCGCTTTCTGAAGAAGGGACTGGCTGAGATGAATCCGCAGCTGAGTTGGCAGGGCTTGGAGGACCTCCTCTTCATGCAGAGGAGCACGAAGTCTGGCTTTCCGGAAAGTTCTTTCATCGCCACCATACTTCACCAGACTTGGCTGGCAAGGTGTGACGCAAGCCGCTGTGGTGTTGCACTTCAGCCCAAGAAAGTGATACGCCTGGCAGTGGTGGAGTTTGTCGCACACGCCAGGGTGTACTGCCTGGCAAGGCAAATGGCAGCGCGGAAGCATGGGGTGGCGATTGGCGCCGATAACTGGGACTACCTGGCAACAGACGAGGCGGCGATGATGAGGCGAATATGCAGCAAAGGGGTACCACTGACGTGGAGGAACAATTTCAGCTCCATCTGGAACGATCCGAAGATGACTAACCGGCCACCGTAGACCTGATATAGGGAACCCACGGTACATGCTATTGTGGCTCTTCCCTCCAGACACAGTTACGACTGCCTGATGCGTTTTGTACATTAGCCTTTTAGTGTACTTTTTCGTATCAAAAAAAAAAAAAAAAAAAAAACATAGCTCTGAAATTTCAGTGTCGTATAATCGATCACTTTTTTTTGTAAGGGTCTAAAACAAAACCAGTCTTGTAAAAAAGGGTGCATAGTCAAACCCGCCCTTATAGTAAGGGTCATAAGGGTGAATCACCCTGATATCGAGAGGCCTGTTGCTAGAGTATCTTTTCTCTCCATTAGGCTTATTTCTACCAGCTTTGTCGAGAAACGAATGGAAGAAACTACCTTCCGCCTGTGGGTATCTTCGCAAACAAACCAAATGCTAGCGGGGATAAATTACTGGTGGTTCGACAGCAGCGGTTCCACGATCGACATTGCAGGAAAATCTTTAGACATCGACTAGTAGGCATAGGTGCTGAGCAGCACGCCTAAGATTCTAGTACTTTACGCGAAATCGTTTCTAGGATCCTATCCATTCGTAAACCACATTAGTTTGTGCACTCGACATTGTCCACCGCTTTGCCGCAACGCTTTGCCTACGAATCGACCCTGCGCCAGCGGATATTCGCGTCAACGATTTGAATTCTAACGGCTAGTTCACTTGAATCTAGCGCTCGGAGCTACCCTGCGCCTGCGTCTATCCTGCTGTCAATCCCGCAGATTAATGTAGCCATCAGTCTCGACGAAGTAGGCTCGGTTCCGTCCGAAGGAATTCTAAGCTCAAGCTTATTTTCTTTTTCTTTTTCTTTTTCGTTTTCCGAGCTTTCAGAAGTCAATTTCTAGAGGGTTTTTTTTTTTTTCGGGTTCGCAAACGTCATGGAGGAGCATTTCGTGTTGCGGTTACCACCGTCGCTGGCTTCGCGGATGGACCGCGTGCTGCGGGAAGACCCCACCGCCGCCGCTGACGCTGCCATGGAACTTTTCTTCCAAGGTAGGTAAACATTTGTGGCGCCTCAAGGTAGGTAAACATTTGTGGCGCCTCAAGGTAGGTAAACATTTGTGGCGCCTCAAGGTAGGTAAACATTTGAGGCGCCTCAAGGTAGGTAAACATTTGTGGCGCCTCAAGGTAGGTAAACATTTGTGGCGCCTCAAGGTAGGTAAACATTTGAGGCGCCTCAAGGTAGGTAAACATTTGAGGCGCCTCAAGGTAGGTAAACATTTGAGGCGCCTCAAGGTAGGTAAACATTTGAGGCGCCTCAAGGTAGGTAAACATTTGAGGCGCCTCAAGGTAGGTTAACATTTGAGGCGCCTCAAGGTAGGTAAACATTTGAGGCGCCTCAAGGTAGGTAAACCAGCTGACGTCACCACTCGTCCTTATCACTCTCGCCACCCAACCTAATCTTACCTCCCCCCTGATTCATCTGACGGTCGCACTGGGTCCTAATCTTATTCCTGGAGGAATCTACTTTTGAGGCGCCTCAAAAGTCGCACTGGGTCCTAATCTTATTCCTGGAGGAATCCTTTCCTGGGAGTCAAGTGCTTACTGGAGCAGCCAGCGACGGTGGAAGACAGGCAGCCGGTTCCTATGTTATAGCTCGCTTGCCCTCACCACCCCACCCCACCCCACCCCACCCCACCCCACTCCACCCCACCTCCTGCCTGAACCAGCGGACGGCCGAACTGGTTCCTTTGTGATGGGCAGGGAGGCCTTCCTCGTGTCTCTCCTGGACCTGCCAGCGGTGGTGCCCGTGTCCACCCCACCCCACCCCACCCCACCCCACCCCACCCCATCCCACCTCCATTCATACCAGCGGATGGCCGAACAGGCTCCTTTGTGATGGGCGGGGAATCTTTTTCCGCCTCCTTATTGGATCTGCCAGCGGTTGTCGAATCGTGGAAGACATACGATGATAATTCGCTCGTCAAAACGGCCGACGTGGGCCAGGTGGGACGTGGGGGTAACCAGGTAAGTGGGATGTGGGGCAGGCGGGGCGTGGGGCAGGCGTGCATGGGGCAGGTATATTTAGAGGGTAGGTAGGAGGTCGTTTCTGGATGTGGGGCAGGTGGGGTGTGGTGGGGTGTGGTGGGGTGTGGTGGGGTGTGGTGGAGTTGTGGAAGACGTGTGCCAACAACTCGCCTGTCAAAATGGCGGGTGTGGGGCAGGTGGGATGCGGCGGGGAAAGCTGGATTCGGGGAAGCTCGGTTGTGAAAATGTTTGATTCTGGGGAAGGTGGGAGAGTGTTTGGAAAACTGGGGAACGATGGAAACCCGCTTGTCAAGACGGTAGACGTGGGGCAGGCAGGTGCTGGTGGGACATAATTGTGATTGTGTAAATCGTCACACCATCCTAATTTACTGTAATGTATTTGACTGTGCCACCGTGTGTGACTGTAACGGATGATAGTGGTGAAGGAGCCATCATCGGCGAAGCGGCAAATGGAGGGGCTGGAGAGCCGCAGCGGGCTAACCCCGCTCTCGCTTGCTCTTGATTGTGACTGTAACGATTGGCACACTACCATATGTGACTGTGCTGCATGTGACTGTGTTATCAGATGATCGTGGTGAGGGAGCCGTCAGAAGCAGAGCGCCCAGTGGAGGGACCGGAGAGCCGCAACGGCCTCACCCCGCCCTCCCGTGTGAATGTTGTACCACATGTGACTGTGATATCAGATGATCGTGGTGAGGGAGCCATCGGAGGCAGAGCGACCCATTGAGGGACCGGAGAGCCGCAACGGCCTCACCCCGCCCATGCGCGACGTGCGGAGGCGGCGCTTCAGGCGAGAGCCTGACCTGAACGTGAGTGTGACGTGTCATGACTATGCAATTGGCGAGCTGCTCACATGCATGACTCCATTGCGAGCCGCACTAACGGCCTCAGGTGACTTTTGAGTCGACTCAAAAGTCACCTTGCTCACATGCATGACTCTATTGCGAGCCGCACTAACGGCCTCACCCCGCCCATGCGGGACGCGTGGAGGGGGCGGTTCAGACGAGAACCCGACCTCAGTGTGAGTGTGACATGCTGTGTTCAAACAATGTACTTGACGAGCTGCTTACAATGTTCTTTGTACCAGCTCCATTGAACGCGACACTTATGTGAGATGTGCAAAGGCGGCGCGTTAAACGCGAACCCGAGCCGAATGTGAGTGTGCTGTCTTCTTCTTCATCATCTAATTACCCGCTTATATGTTCGTTTTTCACTGTAGTGTAGTGAGTGCGCTGTTTTCATAGCGTGGTCTGATCTGATGAGCTGCTTTTATGTTCTTCCTGCTCACTGTAATGAGCACAACTGTCTCACTCACTCAGTCCGCATGAAGTGGGGGCGTGCGGACTGCATGCGCTTGTGGCTTGCCCTCCACCCCCACTTCCATCCTTTGACCTCCTCTCTCGTTTCTTCCCTCCCCCCTCATGTCCCACGCTTGTCCCCTCTCTCTCCTTCCCACCTCTTTAAACATCATCCACTCTCGCCTTTCTCGTTCTTCCCACTCTCGTTCGTCCTATTCTCATTCTCGTTCATACTCAATTCCAATCATTATCTCCCCCTTTCGATTCTCTCCCTCTTTGATTCCCCCTTCTTTGTCTCGCTGCTGGCAGCCGGAGATGGTGTCGGAGCTTCGAGGCATCGTTTCCGCGTGGCACTCAATTCTTCTTGTTTTCCTCTCCTCTTCAATCCTCTTTCATTCTGGGCAGCCGGAGATAGTGGAGGAGGTGGAGGGGGGGGTACGGGTGATCATGCCCCCCGTGCACATTATTCTTGTCATTATCTCCCCCTTACAACTTCTCCTCTTCCATTTTCTCCATTCTTTCTCTGGCTGGCAGCCGGAGATAGTGGAGGAGGTGGAGGGAGGAGTTACAGGGAATCATGGGCCCCATGCACTCAATTCTCATTACCGTATCCTTGTCTTATATTCTCTTCATTCATTTCCTTCCTGTTTAAATCTTGCCAGCCGGAGATAGTGGAGGAGGTGGAGGGGGAGCTACGGGGAATCATGGCAGGAGGAGCGGCCAAAGACGTGGATATCCCCCTCCGCACACTCTCTTACCCTCTCGTCGCATACTCTTCCCTACCCTCTTTCCTCACACATGTTGTTACCCCTATCTCGCCGCACATTTTCTCTTACCCTCTCTCTGGTCACTCGCTCGTACTCTCTCTCTCTGCACACTCTCACACCACTTTTTCACACACTCTCCCTTACTCTCCTCTCTCCCCACATTTGCTTCTAGTTTTTCCTTCCTTCACCTCTGCCTGTTCATCTTGCACCTGTACACTGCAAGCCTGCTAACTCACCTCAGCATCTGTACTTACAACAAACGATGCTCTATGCACTTTCTCCACTTGGGAATTTCACCTTTCTTTTTGCCGTTTTCCTTGACCTGTGACAGTTTTGATGTTCCCTCTCTTTCCTGGCTGCCTTGCCATCCCATGCCTTTCCTTGTCCTGCCTATCTTGCCTTCCGTGACCAATCCCTTCCTTCAATTCGCTTTCCATATATGATTACCCTCTCTGGGGCGTTTCCGATTCTATGCATGCGTTGGTGGCCGTTCGATCGTATATCGGGCTCGTTTCTGGCTGTCGGATCGTGCACAGCTGGAAGTGATGGAGCATGAGGAAGCGGAGGAAGGGGATGAGGGGGAAGGAGGGGAGGGGGAAGGGGAGGGGAAGGGTGGAGAGGAGGAAGGAGGGGAGGTGGAAGGGTTGGGAGGCAAGAAGAAGAGAGGAGGGAAGGTTGGGGTTAGGGGAGGGGGGAGAGGAGGAAGAGGGGGGCGAGGGGGACGAGGGAGGGGAGGTGGGAGGGGAGTGGGAGCAGGGGGGAGGGGGAGAGGGAGGGGGTTAGGGAGAGGAGTGGGGAGAGGAGGCGGGAGAGGTGGGGGAAGAGGTGCGGGGGAAGGAACGGGGAGAGGAGGTGGGAGAGGGGGTGGGAGGGGGAGGGGAAGAGGGAGAGGGATGAAGAGAAAGGAGGTTGAGGAGGCGGAGGATACTGAGGAGGACGGGAGAGGGGGAGGGAAGAGGAGGAGAACGGATGAAGGAGGAGAGGATGAAGAGGGTGCAGATGCAGGTGAACCTGAGAGGGAAAATACCAAGGAAGAGGAGGAAGGTCATGTGGGGGAGGAGGGAGAGGAGGAAGAGAGGGATGAGAGGGAGGGAGGTGAGAGAGAAGAGGAACAGGATGAAGAGGCGCATGGGGAGGAGGCAGAAGAGGAGGGTGATATGGGTGGGGGAATACCAGGTGAAGAGGACGAAGGGGAGGAGGAGAGGGATGGAGACGAGGGTAGGGGTGGAGGGAGTGGGGCAGGAGGGGAGGTGGAGGAAGGGGGTAGTAGTGAAGAGGAGGGAAGAGATGGTGAAGGATTTGTGGATGTGGACGAGGATGAGGAAGAGCCTTATTAGGCGTTACTAGTATAAAATGCTACCATATTGAGCAAAATTGATGTTGAGCGTATAATTATCCTTGTAGTTATTGTGTACAGAGCATCCACAGTCATAACTGAATTATCCTTGTGGTGCTTCTTGTGAAGCTCAACTGATCGAGGGTTCGTGTGATTGTCTATGCTGTTTGTAGTGAGGTGAAATGCTGATTTTGGTTGGTGGTTCTTCTGACAACCAATCGCGGCCTATCACATGTGTGACCATCCACATAGTCGTGCTCCTCGCATCTGGGTCTTCCATCCACGTTTCCCGCCATCCAACCTTTCTAACAACCGTTCATTCTCACCAGATCCCTGTCATCCTGCTACAGCTTGCTGGTCTCCCATCTGTCATATACTCTGAAGTGTCCAATTGAAATGGACTCCAAACCAGCAGGTTTCCGTTCTTGCAGCCGCACCTTGTTGGACCGCTCCACAATCGTAGAAAACGTTTAAAATCACGAGTTAACGTACTCAACCACAGTGAGCTCCTTTTGAGTGGCAAAGGACTTAAAGCACGCTGAATCCGAACCAAGTCCCTCGTAGTACTCTGTTGCAGCCATTACTTCAGATTCTGAGTTTGTCTAGCTTCAGGCGGTCACTTACATTTCGTTCAGGACCTTGGCATCCTACCTCCATTTCGTTCAGGACCTTTTTTTTGCGAGGCAGATGTCTGAAGCAGGCCCGATGGACGCGGCTTTCGCGATTCTTAAGAGCAAGCAGCCTTCGGAGCTGTTTGTGATTGGTCTTGCATTGATCGGCCTCCTATGGCTCTTCTCAGGCCTGCTCTCGTTCCTCAACGGAATCTGGATTCTCTTCCTTCGCCCAGCCAAGAACCTCCGTCGTTACGGCCCCTGGGCGATTGTTACAGGATGCACTGACGGCATCGGTAAGGGTTTCGCGAAGGAGCTCGCAAAGCGGAAAATCAACGTGATTCTCGTCAGCAGGACCCAGGAGAAACTCGAGGCAGTCGCGAGCGAGCTTTCGTCAAAGTACAAAGTCGACACGCGAATCGTCGTCGTGGATTTCACGAATCCTGGCCCGACTCTGGCGGCAGCGTACGATCAAGTTCGCAAGCTGGTCGACGAGTTGGAAGTCGGCATTCTCGTCAACAATGCCGGGATGTCTTATCCCCATGCTCAGTACCTACACGAGGTTGAGGACAAGCTTATATCGGATCTGATCAACATCAATATCGAGCCCATTGTCCGCCTGACCAAGATCGTTATTCCGAACATGCTTCAAAGGAAACGTGGAGCGATTGTGAACATCGGATCGGGTGTCGCAACGGTCATTCCGTCTGATCCGCTCTACTCCGTCTATGCCGGCACCAAGGCGTAAGTCTCAGCAAGCTGATAAAGGTGAAATCGTGTCATCTGTCCTTTCCCTTTTTCGCTGAAATGTGAACGGAAAGGTGTAGAGCCAATTGTTTTAGTACTAAAGTTGGTAAAAAGTCATAAAAGCAAGACCATTCTTTTGTATGTTTTCGCAAAATCGTTCTTTTCCTTTTCCCTCCCCTTTCCTCTTCGCGTGCTTCGCGTGCAGGTTCGTGGACCAATTCTCCCGGAGCATCGACATGGAGTATGCATCCAAGGGCATCGACGTGCAGGTTCAGGTGAGCATTATTCTTTGCAAGAGCTTAGATGAATAGCGTCATGGAGAATGCATTGAAGGGCATCGACGTGTAGGATCAGGTGAGCCCCAGACATCGTAAGAGCCTAGGTGAAGAGCACCATGACTAGCATCCGAGGGGATTGACGTCCAGATTCAGGTGAGCCGCGGTTATTGCAGGAGCCTAGCCCACACGTTGTCTAACGGACGGATATGCAAACTCATAAGGCTAACCGTCAATAGCATTCAAGGGGATTGACAATACATGTGGGCCGCAGCCATCGTAAGAGCCTAGGTGAATCTTATCTTGCATAGCATTCAAGGGAGCTGACGTCAGTTCCAAGTGAGCCATGGTGATCGCAACTATTGGACGAGCCTTGATGACACGCTGTCTAACATGGGGAAATATGAACCGTAAAAATAAGGGGAAAGCGAGTTTCACTGGGGTTACTTTTAAGGTGCATTGGTGTATTCTGTTTCTTTTAGCTATACCCAGGCTCGTGAATAAGATACATTTTAACTAGCTCCAGGAATAAGCCGCCCTCTCCGTGCTCGAACGATTGAACAGTGTCCCTCAGCCGGACTTCCCCTTTCAGCCAGCTGTCATTTCATTCTATGCCTCACGTCATGGCTAATATGTCACCTCCTAACTGTCTGCTTTCTGTGCCTCGAGTGTATACATTTTGTCATCCTTAGTTCATCTTGAAACCATGCTTCACATCGTCCCACAACCCACCCTCCATGGTTTATTTCTCATCTTGATATTCGTTCACCTCCTCTGCGCCACTGTGCCCCGTCCCTCCTCTCCTCCCCCGTACGTCATGCCATACCCGCATTCCACATCTCGTTATCGAGCCTCGGTCCACTTTCCTCGTCAACCCAAACCCATCCATGAGTCGCCTCTTAGTGAGCTCATCTGTTGCTTCACATGCGCAAGCCGCTGTGTTCGCGGCCAGCTTAGTAAAATAAATACACCAGGTGGTGTTGCTCGTCTCAAGGCTCAATTGCCTAACGTGACCTCACTGCCGGATTCATCCATTTGTTGCACCCCACCCGCAGGCCCAAAGATGCTCAAACTCCGACATGCCCCACAAACATGGAGTCCTAAAAACCAAGTTCTGCTCTCGATGCCTCCATGTCACATTTGCTTCTCCCTGACGAAAGCGTCACCTGTTCCCCCCCTATGCCTGTTCCTTATCGTCTCTTCTTCCTGACACTTCCCACCCGCAGGCGCCTCTGTTCGTGGCCACCAAGATGTCCAAGATCCGCCACGCGTCGCTCACCTGCCCATCCCCTGACCTGTATGCAAAGCACGGGGCCAACTGGGTGGGGCAGGAAGTGCGGTGCACGCCGTACTGGGCGCACGGGGTCATGTGGGGCATCATCTACCGCTTCCCTGAAGGGCTGTTCAACATTATTCGGTTGGGTCAGAACGTGGACATTCGCAAGCGCGCCCTGGCGAAGCTAGCACGCCAACAGAAGCAGCAGTAGGTGGTAGATGTGGCTTGTTGAAGTGGCATGTTGGGTATTGATTTTGGAACCCATCGGGCATGTTGATATTAGCATATAGGTTTGTCATTAAGGAGATAAGGGGGGTTTGGTGCATATACAAGCAGATGTACACGCAGCAGTGGTAGTGGTGGATGTCCAAGATTCCACTAAAACTTGTTCTCATTGAGTTATGCATTTCTACATTATTGGCATGTGAGATGAATGCTAGCTAGAGTCTGAATATGATTCCCAACCCAACCTCCATAATCTAGTTCAATAGCTCAGCTTAAAACCTAGACAAGGAAAATTGTACTGTGAGAATCAGCTTACGGTATTTAATATTATGTTCACTGTTGGGACATTTTCTCACGAATTTGAACATTTCCACCATTTGCTCTGAGTTAGAACGGATGTTTTAGAAACATTTACAGAAGTGTGTTATTCACATTAATGAAGGATTTCTGAGTTCATCCGAATTACTCTTTTTTTCCTACGGACCAGGGCAGGTAGGGTGTGTGCCAGTGACCTACGGAAACCAATTCGCGACAATTCTTCGCCGCCGACACGGGTCACCGCACCGACCCACCCCTACTCCCACACTGACGAGCTTGTTCGCGAAAGCTCTGACACCTCCTGATCTCCTCGCTGACCTCGCCAAATCGCTGACAAAAGTTCCCGCGCCCGCAAATTTCCAATCGTAGTTTCACCAAATTCGCGCTCTGGACATTACAAGAATTTGCTCTGGTGAAGATGCCCGAAGCGCGTGAAGGAATTCAGAATCCAGAATGTGCATGCCTCTGATCCACTCTCCCCGCCTTCGGCCTCGTATCAGATGATCAGGTTTCTCGCACCAAGTTCACTCGCCGTCGCCACCCCACTGCGCGCATTTTGGCTGCTCGATGCTCCCTGCCAGTTTTGGAATTTGGGAGCTTCGACATTCGGTAGGACTTGCAGGGACACAAATTATTGACGAGAACATCGTGCATTCATAAGGTCGGACAGACGAATCTCCACCAGTGTCTTGCAACCGAGACGAATTCATTTCGTTCTAAAGTTTATACCTCCGTACAGCCACTTTCCCCACCTCGACTCCAGTCTCTCCAGCGATTATCAGACAGCAAAAAACCCTTGCTTCTCGCATCCCGCCGCAACCAATGGCTTCTCGGAATCTATTGCTGCTCGGGCTTGTACTCGCCGTAGTATGCATCGGTAAGACGTCGTCACTCTCTACTCGCTATTCGCACACGGCATTCTTGCCTCTATCCCTCCTCCTGTCTGTCTTCCCAACTCCTCCTTCCTTGTACCCTCACTATTCATGTCGGCCTCGCTCGTATTCCTTCCGATGCCGCAGGCTCGGCCGACGATAAGATGATAGCAATAAGGCAGGGATCTGATTTCTGTTTTGAGACGTCACTAAAACATATCCACTTTCACGTGCTATTCGATGATGCAGGCTCGGCGGACGCTAAAATGATAACAGTGGGACAAGGATCTGACATTTGGAGTTTCCTCAGCCCGTGGGCGTACGGCGTATCTTCGTGGAAGCAACCCACCGTCGTGGCCGGCGACGTACTCGGTAAGAGGCGATTCACGTTTAGGTACTACCGTACGCGGGGTTTGCACTCGCTGCTCATGCGCTTCAACAAGCGCATTGGACGGTCAAGCCTGTTCTACATGCGCCCCAGTCGACCTGCAGTCTGCCCGAACTGGGAGACAAAGGCGATGCACTGCACCGCACCGCACTGCACCACACTGGAGTGCTTTTGAAAAGCTCTGCACAGAACGGCCCATCGTACGTGTTCGTTCGCACTCTCACCGTCTATATCCCTCACTCGCCCCACTGGAACTTCTTTCCCAGTCTCCATGAACTCTTTGGCACTGGCGCATCCATCATCCCCTCCCCCGCCCTTCCGAAGCCTGACTCCCAACCCATATTGAGTTCCAAACCAAAGTACCCGGTTCGTTCGCACTGGCGCACCCATATTCCCCACGTTTTCGCGACCTATTGCAGCCTGACTCCCGTTCCTCGCTCACTCCTCTCACTTTATTCTCCTCCGCCCCTCCCCGCTGTACAGTCTTCCGCTGGATCGGCATGCGAAACGTGCGACAATGGGCGACGCCGCTCGGTTACACCGCGTGCTGGTTCGGTTTCGCCAAGACGGTGGCCCCGCAGGGATACTGGGGAATGATTCGGTACACAGTTGCGCCCACTGAGTCGCGAACGACGCTGTATTTCGGCAGCAGCATCGGCGACGACTGCGCGCGCAACATCAAAGTTCGCATCAACGTGTCGTGAGCTGCGATGCCTGCGAATCCTGCGACCGCTGCAACTTGTGCGACTGTTGCGACCGCCGTAGCGACCCAGGGGTGGGATCAAGGTCGCAATGAGTGTGCTTTTAGTGCCGGGCTGACAAAAGGGCTGCGAGTGAGGTGCGATTAGGAGGGGGCAAATGCGGAGCTAGAGCGAGGAATTTGAGTGCGTGAGGGAGCGAGTGAAAGTATGCGGCTGCGGCCGCCTCCCTTCGACTTCTCGCCCTTCGTGCCCTTTGGCAGGAGGAGCCCGAGATTGAGTGGCACATAATTCGTGTGCTCGCCCCACGCTCTGTTGCTTGATATCACTATAGAATTCTTGCTCTACAGCACTGTAAAATGTCACTATACAAGTCAATCTACAAACATATTCGCTTGTACCTTCAGACAGGCCCCCCTTAGCTTGCAACCTTCAATCTGGCTCAAATGTCAAAAAATCACACCATCAAGGAGTACAACAACAGTGATAAGTAGTGAGGGACAGAGCCTTCACCTTTGCTTGAATGTCAACTATTCACACCATAAGGAAGCACACTATTATACTAAAAACTCAATGCTAATCTACCAAACTGCAACACTAAGTGCGTGTTCCTACACCTCATATCAGACACACCTCGTATCAGTTTTGCGTGGTGAAATACGTTTCAGTGTGTTCGACCACAGTTGGATGCGTTTTAGTGCGGTTCGACGCGAAGTTGATTCGAGGTTGCCTGATATGAGGCGGTAGGAACACGCTCTAACATCAGACCAAAGAGCATGCAATCGGCGCCATTCAGGTCTCGCGCAGCAGAGCCTCCATGTTGACTCGAATGTCATCAGGAACACCTTCACTCGCTGCTGCACTCCCTTTTGCACCCTCCTTCCTCTTTCCCTTCGTGCGATCTTCGAATTCAGCTCAAAAAACAATCATTCAAAGCTTACGCAGCAGGGCAGTCACCTTGGCTCGAATGTCATCAGGAACACTTACACCAGCTCCCCATGTCCTTGCAATCTCTGAACTCGGATTAGAAAATATCAATCTCTTTCACAGCTTCCGCAGCAGCGCCTTCACCTTGGCTAGAATGTCATCAGGAACACTCACACTCGCTGCAACATTCCCCTCCGCACCCATCTTGCTCTCGCCCATCTCCCTTACCCCCTGTTTTTTCTCCTCTTCACGTGACTCCCTTTTCACGCCAAATGCAGGTTCAGATGCTCTCTCCTTCCCACCACCTTTCCTCTGTTCTTCCCTTGGTTTCGCCTCGACTGTATGCTTGCTCTCCTTGTCCGTGCCCTCTCCTCTCATGCGCTTTCTTTCAGGAGACACTGACCTCTTTCTCTTTGCCCTCTCCCTCTCTCTATCGTCTTCCCTTTCCCTCTTCCCCTCCCCTCTCTTTTCCCTCTCCCCTCCCCCCCTCTCCCTTCCCCTCTTCCCTTCCCTCTCCTCTGCCTTCTTCCCCTTCCCATCGCCTTTTCCTTTCCTCTCCTTTTCCTTTATCCTTGTTATAGGAGAACTCGACATAGACCGCCCACGCCGTTCCCTCTCGTCGCTGTCACTCCCCTCACTCAAACGCTCACACCCTTTCCTCTTGGCACCACCACTCCCTTTTCTCAAGTGCCCACGGCTTCTTCTCGACCCATCATCACCCCCTTCCCTCCTCCTGCTCGCTTCTCCCCGTCTGCTCGACTCCTTGCCCCTCCCGTTTCCCCTACCAAGCTTGCTGGTACGAGCCGGAGAGGGAGAGATAGACGACCGAGAGGGGGATGAAGGGGACGAAGACCTAGAGAAAGATGAGGAGGAAGGGGAGGAGGATGGGGAGGAATGAGAAGCGGTAGAGCGAGAGGGGGATGACACGGAGGGTGAGTGCGAGTGAGAGCGCTTGCTTTTCTTCCTGACAGCTTTTGGCTTGCGCTCCCTGCCTGCCTTGCGCTCCCTGCGTGCCTTGCGTTCCCTGCTGGAGTCTCGGCTACTTGTAGGGCTGCTCTTCCTTCTTCCCATTCCCTTTCTTCCCTCCCTTCCTCCGCGTCCTCCTCTCCTTTCTTTCCTTACTCCGCTTCCTCTGCTATCTCTGCTTCCTCTGCTATCTCTGCTTCCTCTGCTTTCGCTGCTTCCTCTGCTATCCCGGCTTTCACTGCGTTCTCTGCTTCCTCTGCTTTCACTGCTATCGCTGCTGCTACTTCGAGCCTCTCTAACCCTCCTCTTTCCACTCCCCATCTCCTTTTTCCTCGACCTCCCCCTTTCCGTCCCATCCTCCTCCCTGTCCTCCCTTCTCTCCTCTTCATCGCTCCTCTCCCCCTCCTCCCTGCTCTCCTCTTTCCCCACTGCACAACCTGCTTCTGCTTCTCCCTCCAATCCAACTTTCCCCTTCCCCATCTCAACCGATCCACTTTCCACTCCATTAACCGCTGCCTTTGCCCCTCCAAATGCTCCTCCCGTTGCTCCTTTGCTTGCCCTCCCTCCTCCCCCTCCACCCTTCCCAACGCAAGCATCAACCTGTCCTGACAAGCCAAGAAGGGGCAGTGCCTTGGCCACTGCTGCTGCTGCAGCTGCCGCCGCTGCCACCAGAGCAACCTCAGCCCCTTGCGTGGTTACACCACCACTGCCCCCTACTGCTGCCGCATCAGTGCCCCCGCCCCTTTCTGTGGGAACGCCAGCGGCAGCAGCACTGCTCCCTGCAGCAGACGTACCGACTACAGCAGCACCGGCTGTAGAGGTGAGCATGGCAGAGAACAGCTTTGCCTTGCGCCTTCTCTCCAGCCGCCTCTGCTCCTCTGCTGTTAGTTCCTCAACAGCCCCTCCTTGCACCGCAGCAGCACCAGCAGCAGCAGAACCACCATCACCAGCAGCAGCAGCAGCAGCAGCACCGGAACCACCAGGAGCAGCAGCAGTAGGAATGAGAGATGGAGGAGGGGCAACACCAGTGACAGTAGCGTGAGGAGCAGCAGAAGGTGCAGCAGATAAGTCAGCAGAAGATTGACCAGCAGGACGAGCAGACCCCTGCCCAGTGACTGACCTGCCTGGTCCACTCCCGGGCCTCCTTCCCCTCAGAATCTCCAACACTGCTGCAGCGCTCATGCGGTTACCACCTGTGTTACCAGCACCTGAACCAGCAGCAGCACGAGCACCAGCACTAGCACCACCAGCAGTGACTTTCCCCCCGGCCCCACCCTCAGTCTCTTCCTCTTCAAACACCAAAGCAGCAGCTTTGGCGGGTGCAGCAGCGGGTGAAACAGAGGGAGCAGTGGAAGTGGCAGCAGCACCGGTTGTTGCTGCAGCAGCTGGAAGGGCAGAAGAAGCGGTGTGGGAGGAGGGAAGGAACCTGCTCGTCGCTGCACGCACTGCTGCTGCCACTGCTGCGGCACTGAGCCTACCACCAGCCACAGATGCCCCCTTTGCCGCTTCTCTGCTCGCCTCCTCTTCCTTATCACCCCCTCCTTCCCCTCCCTTCTTTCCCTTCTCTCCCTTCTCTCCCTCCTCTCCCTCCCCCTCACTCACAATCTCCCCACTCTCCCCCTCCTCATCCGACTCTTGCACGCCCTTTTTCTTGCCCCTCTTCCCTCCCGACTGCCCTTGTATCTCCCCTTCCTCTCCCTCGCTCCCACTCGCCTCCCCACCCTTGGCCCCCTCCTCTCCCTCACTCTCACTCCCCTCCCCACCCTTTCCACCCTCAGCTCCCTCCCCCTTCTCCTCCCCCCTCTCCCTCTCACCCTCCTCCTCCCCTCCCTCCGCCTCACCACCCCTATCAGACTCCCCTCCCGCTAGAGTCACATCTCTTAGAACCACACCCGCCTCTCCCCCCCTCAGTTTGCGGACAGCAGGCACGGGCAGCTTGCCTGGGAGCACGGCAGTGGGGGGCCGAGGGCGAGGGGGTGGCTGCAGCATCAACACCAGAGGAGCATTGGCGCGCTGTGGGGGGGAAGGACAGAAAAGGAAAGGGGGGAGGGGATTGGGGAAGAACGGAAGCAATGAGACCAAGACATGCAGGCACGGGCAGCTTGCCGGGCAGCACGGCAGTGGGGGGGCGAGGGCGAGGGGGCGGCTGTGGCATCAACACAAGAGGAGCATTGGCGCGCTGTGGGGGGGAGGATGGGGGTGGTGGAAGGGGAAAACAAGGGGCAGGAGGCGGAATGAGAGAGAGACATGCAGGCACGGGCAGTTTGCCGGGCAGCACGGCAGTGGGGGGGCCGAGGGCGGGGGGGCGGCTGATGCATCAGCACCAGAGAGGCATTGGCGCGCTGTGGGGGGGAAGGGAATGTGGGGACAGGATAAGAGGCGGATAGGAAAGGAGACAAGGAAGAGGACAGGGGGGAGCAAGAATGAGATTGTGGCAGGAAGAGGAGAAGGACAGGCAGTTTTCCTGGCAGCATGGCAGTGGGGGCCCGAGCTCGAGGGGATGGCTGAGGCATCAACACAAGAGGGGCATTGGCGCGCTGTGGTGGAGGAGGTGAGGGGCAGGAATGGGGGGAAAGGGGAGAAGGAGGGGAGGAGCGAGAGAGAGGCATGCAGGCACGGGCAGTTCGCCTGGTAGGACCGCAGTGGCGGGGCGAGGGCGAGGGGGTGGTGGAAGGGGAAAGCAAGGGGCAGGAGGCGGACTGAGAGAGAGGCATGCAGGCACGGGCAGTTCGCCTGGTAGGACCGCAGTGGGGGGGCGAGGGCGAGGGGGTGGCTGTGGCATCAACACCAGAGGGGCATTGGCGTGCTGTGGGGGGGAAGAGGGGGATGGGAAAGGGGGATAAGAAAGGGTGGAATGGAATGAGATAAGCACATCCAGTTCCAGGAACGGGAAGTTTTCCAGGCAGGCAGCACGGGAGGGGCTGATGCACAAGCAGTCCGACTGGGAGGGCGGAAATGGGAGTGGTACACAACGTATTCCACCATCCTTGATTGAAGCTGCAGGGTCGTGTTTTGAGTCGACTCAAAACACACGTATTCCACTGTCCTTGATTGAAGCTGCAGGGTCGTGTTTGAAGTCGACTCAAAACACGCCTGGGATGGCGGAAATGGGTGTGGTACACAACGTATTCCACCACCCTTGAAGCTGCAGGGTGTTTTTGGAAATACTCAAAAGCCAACCCGCAACTCCGAGGGGCTGTTGCACACAATGTACGCCTCCACTCCACCTTCCCCACCACTCCCCTCCACCTTCCCCACCACTCCCCTCCACCTTCCCCACCACTCCACTCCACCTTCCCCACCACACCCCTCCACCTTCCCCGCCACTCCACTCCACCTTCCCCACCACACCCCTCCACCTTCCCCGCCACTCCACTCCACCTTCCCCACCACTCCCCTCCACCTTCCCCGCCACTCCACTCCACCTTCCCCACCACACCACTCCACCTTCCCCGCCACACCCCTCCACCTTCCCCGCCACACCACTCCACCTTCCCCACCACACCCAGCATCACTCCAGCAACTAGACTCTGAACCCTAAACAGTAAACCACCACAAACCCTGAACCCTAATTTCTAGACCTTTCACCCTCACCCCTCCTGCAGGCGGGTCCTGTCCCTGACTCCACACACTCTCACCTGCAGAGCCTTTTGCAGTGTGCGTGCGCTGGTAGTAACTGTTAACTGTAACTGGCAGGAGAAACTCCTGTAACTGTAGAAGGGGCCTCCTGGCGACATGAAGGAGGAGGAGGACTAACCCTGATGATTCTGTCCCACTCAGTCCCTCACATACTCACCACTAGCGCAGGCAGCCCAAACCCCCCTGTCATTCCACACTCCCTCTCGCCTCCAGAGCCTCCTTTAGGGTGCGCTGGTGGTAGGCGTGGAAGAGATACCATACCCAGGCAATAAGAACGGGTAGCGCCCCTCCCCCGCATCCCGCTGCTAACATTAGAATAGGCCAGCCCAACCCCGCATGCACTCACCCCTCTCCCAATCTCACCTCCAGAGCGTCCTTGAGTGTTCGCTGGTAGTAGCTGCAAAAACGGGTCTCCCGGCAAGAGAAACGGGGAGCGCCCCTCTCCAGCGTCCCTCTGCCGCACAATGCTCTAAAACTCGTGCCCGTTGCGCACTATAAACCCCACCATCTTCCCCACAAACCCCCGCTCCCAACATAGCACCTGAAGACTAAAACCTGAGCCCTTTATGTCTCCTGCCCCTGACTCCACAAACTCTCACTCACCTCCAGAGCTTCCTTCAGTGTTCGTTGGTAGTAGGCGTGAAAGCAGTCCCCAGGCAATAAGAAAGGGAAGCACCCCTCCCCCGCGTCCCTCTGCCGCACAATGCTCTCAAACTCATGCCCGTTGCGCACTATGAATTCCACCCCATCTTCCCCACCACCCGACACACCCACTTTAGCAGCAAAGCCTTTGATTCTAACCCTAAACCTGAAACCCTCACCTCCTAAGTCTTGTGTTCCTGACGCCACACAATCTCACCTCTAGAGCTTCTTTCAGTGTGCGCTGGTAGTAGGCGTGGAAGCGGTCTCCTGGCAGCAGGAAGGGAAAGCGCCCCTCCCCAGCGTCCCTCTGCCGCACAATGCTCTCAAACTCGTGCCCGTTGCGCACTATAAATTCCACCATCTTCCCCACCACCCCCCGCACCGACTCGGGCACTTCGCCTGCCTCCTCCCCTCCTGTCGCCCCTGGTGCTACTCGTCCTCCTCCTTCTCCGCCTGCTTCTTTCGCTCCTCCCTCCGCCCCTTCATCACCTTCCTCTCCTTCCTCTCCTGCCTCTCCCTCCCCTCCTCCTTGATCTGCCCTCCCTGCTTCTTCTCCTGTCTCCATCCCAGGAGGGGGGGGCTCATCTGAAACCACTGGAGGCTCAACTGGGGGAGGCTGTTCTGAGAGAGGCTGTTGTTCTGGGAAGGCACTATCCTGTGCAGGGATCTCAGACCCACCTTCCCCACGTCCCTCCTCCGCCATCTCCTCCGCTGCTTCAGCAGGTTCTGACTCGGTGAACCACCTACTTCCCTCCACTCCCTCGATAACTCTTTCCCCGGTAACCCTTTCCTCAGATGCTCCATCTTCCTCCGCTGGTTCCCCCTGTTGCCTTTCGCTCCCCTCTCTGCTGGCTCCTTCTCTCCCTTCATCCTCCCCCTCTTCCTCCTCTTTCCCCTTCCTCCCCTCAACTCCCTCCTCCCTCTCCTGCTCTTCCTTCCCTTCCTCCTTACTCTCCTCCTTCTCCCCATCCTCCTCATCCTCCCCATAAGCAGCACCAAGCAGCGAGACAGCGCTCCCCCTCTCCACACTCACCCTCCCGCCCCTCTCACCTCCTACTCTCCCCTGCCCCTCACCCACACCCACCCCTTCCTTCCCTCCCTCCGCCCCACCCTCTCCCTCCTCTCCCTTCCCTTCCCCCTGCCCCTTCCCCTTTCCCTTCCCCCCTTCCCCTACCAACTGAGGATTTGCTACTAGGAACCGGAAGAAGGGGTGTAAGGAGTGGTCAGGGGAGAGGAAGGCGAAGGCGGGATTGCTCTTTTGCTTCACTCGCAGCACAATCTCTGCCTGTGCGCCCGCCTTTCGTATGAATGCAGCAGTGCGCGCCATTATGGTGTAAACCTTTTCGGTTGGAGGCTGGAGAACGGGGCGGGGAGGGGGGATGGAAGAGGGGTTGAGGGGTTGGGTTAGAGAGAGGAAGGCGAAGGAAGCGTTGCCCTTGTGCTTCACTCGCAGCACAATCTCTGCCTGTGCGCCCGCCTTCCGTATGAATGAAGCAGTCCGCACCATTATGGTGTAAATCTTTTCAGTTGGGGGCTGGGAAAAATAAGGAAGGGGAACAGGAGATGGGTGGGGGAGGAAAAGGGGAATGGGAGTAATGAGAAGAGTGGGGAAGGAAAAGGGGAAAAGGAGTAATGAGAAAGGGGGGCGGAAGGGAGGAACGGGGGTGCAAGGAGTTGTCAGGGAAGAGGAAGGCGAAGGCAGGCAGGATTAGCCTTCTGCTTCACTCGCAGCACAATCTCTGCCTGTGCGCCCGCCTTCCTCACAAATGAAGCAGTACGAGCCATGATGGTGTAAATCTTTTCAGTTGGGGGCTGGGAAAAATAAGGAAGGGGAATAGGAGATGGGTGGGGGAGGAAAAGGGGAATGGGAGTAATGAGAAAAGGGGGTGGAGGGGAGGAACGGGGGTCTAAGGTAAGGAGTGGTCAGGGGAGAGGAAGGCGAAGGGGGGGTTGCCCTTGTGCTTCACTCGCAGCACGATCTCTGCCTGTGCGCCCGCCTTTCTCACAAACGATGCTGTGCGGGCCATTATGGTGTACACCTTTTCTGTTGGGGGCTGGAGAACGGGGGGAAAGGAAGAGGGTGTGAGGGGTTGGATGAGAGGAAGGCGAAGGGGGGGTTGCCCTTGTGCTTCACTCGCAGCACGATCTCTGCCTGTGCGCCCGCCTTTCGTATGAATGAAGCAGTCCGCACCATTATGGTGTATACTTTCTCTGATGGGGGCTGGGAAACCATCAGCAAGGGGTACGGGAGGGGGGATGTGAAGACAAAGGGGAATGGGCGGAAGGAAAGAAACGGGTTTATCAGAAAGAGAAACCGGAAGAACAGGTGGAGAGGTTGGTGAGGGGAGAGTTCTTGAGACGTCTCATAAGGTCTGTATTATCACGTGGAAACTGGAGGAACAGGTGGAGCGGGTGGTCAGGGTCGCTTTTGAGAGTTCTCAAACGCGACTCAGATTTAGATGTTCAGGGGAGAGTTTTTGAGATGTCTCATAACGTCTGTATTATCACGTGGAAACTGGAGGAACAGGTGGTCAGGGGAGAGGCGAAGAAGGATTGCCCTTGTGCTTCACGCGCAGCACAATCTCCGCCCGTGCGCCCGCCTTCCTCTCAAACCCCAAAAAGGAATGGTGGAACATACCAGGCATTGCTGAAGCTCTGGGGGCACTGCAAAGGGCGGTACAACACCGCTGCCTTTGCCTTCCCCTGCTGCTTCTCCTGTTGTTGCTGCTGCTGCAGCTGCTCCTGCTGATGCTTGTGCATCACCACCTTCACCAGCAGAAGCAGCCTTGTGAGGAGACGATGGGAGGGTTCCTTGCTGCTCATCAGGGGCTGCAGAGGAGGCGTAGTTGAAGGCGACAGCTGCATAGGCGGGGCGAGTGGGCGTCTGGGACGCTGGACGAGTGAAGGGAGAGAAAAGAAGACGGGGGGAGGAGAGGGAACGCAAGAAGAAGGGAGAAACAAAAGGGAGGATTGAAGTGAAGCGGGAGGAGCAGAGGCGGAAGAGACACAAGGAGAGCAACTGCGAAGAAACGTGCAGAGCAAATGTAGAGTGATAAGGGAAAACATCAAACGATTTCTGTTCGCTAAGGAATAATCAACTAGAGTACAAAAATCCTCACAGATACGCCGGAAGAGAACTGCTGCTGGAAGAACCTGCACTATGGAGAAAGGATGGAGAGGGGAAAATGTAACTTAGTGGAAATATTGTAACAGAAAGCTTGAATGCTAGAGGAAATGGAAAGGGACGAAAAATAGGAGGCTGGATAGGGGCAGGGCAGAACATCAGTGAACTGGCAATTAAATAGCATGGGGGATGAAAAAGACAGAATGAACTCCACAGCAACTCCAGAGCCAAAATGAGGGTGGTGTGGTGGACACTGGACAGCCCTGGTATAATGGAATGTGCGATTACTTCGCTCTTCCTGTTTTCTTTGTTTCGTGCAGTAATGAGTTGAAGCATACAAGCATCTTGATGGTACATGATCGGGCATGAGCTTTGGGAAGGGAAGCTTCTGAGACAGAGAGCAGGTGAGAAGCAAAAGAGCCCGTTAGCACAGACACATAACACATGCAAGCTGTGGTTCCCAGAAAGCACAAGCCTCGTACCCTGCCCATGCCCAGCAACATTCTCTGATGCTGCCGCTGCCACGGCGAATCCTCCTCCTCTGCGCCTAGCTGCCCTCCCCCACACATCCTCCGCCCCCCCAGCCGCTTCCTCTTTTTTCTGCGCCTCTGCCGCTGCTGCCTTCCGCCTCTCCTCTTTCTCAACCATATCCAGCTCTACATATCTCTCCTTCTCCATCTCCTCCTCCTCCCCACCTTCCCCTGCGTCCCCTCCCCCTCTCCCCCCTCCTCGTCCCCCCTTTTTCCGCCTGATAGTTTTAAGATCGTCCAATAGATGCCTGACATCAAAGCGGTCTATCATTAGAGAATCTTCCCCTTTCCAGGGAAGCAGCCCGCCGCCGCCCGCCACGTCAGCTGACACGTCATCGTCCTCGTGGATAAGGCACGGCCGGCCGACCAATGAGAGCTCGTTCGGGGCGGGAGCGCAGGCCTTTACTTGACGGGAAAGCCAGGCAGGTTCTTCGAATTGCGGCGGCTGCTGCTGCTGGTGCAGATGCTGCTGCCGGCGATGCTGCTGCTGCTTTCGCGATCCGCGTTGGTACTGCTGGTGCGGCTGGTACGAAGAGCCTTGCTCGTACGGATACTGTTGATACGAACTCTGCTGTTGAAACGGTTCATCTTGGTAAGACCCACCATCCTCGTACGCGTACGTATCTCCGTACGCAGCAGGGGAGGGGGAACGACGCGCGGCACAGGCGTAAGCTGCAGGGGAAGGGGAACGGCGAGCAGCGCCGGTGTAAGCTGCGGCTGCAGCTGCAGTGCTTGGGTACGTATCCCCGTACGCAGCAGGCGAAGGAGAACGACGAGCAGCGCCGCTGTAAGCTGCAGCTGTAGCGCTAGGGCCAGCAGGAGCATCGGAGGATGGGTACTGAAACGGGTGATCATCACGGCCTGATGGGGGGTTGGTAGGAGATTTTCTCCACATGGCTGCGCGCGATGCTCTTCTGAAGAGTCTGACTACACACGCTTTCTAACTCTCGACCAGACAAAACGCTTCTGATTATAGCCTTCCAAATTCACCACGTGACTGTGCGCGATAATCTTCTCGAAACACGCTCTCTAGCGACGCTTTCTGATCGTCGATCTGGAGACAGGATTTCGTTGATCTGACCGCTACGTAGGAGAATGGGAGGCTAGCACACGTCAGATACGCTGGTTGTTACGTAGGCTGGATAACTACGCTGACGGCAAACTCCCGAACCGCTTAGTTTGCCAACTTTATCGAGTTCCAATCTCGCAATTCTAATAACCTTTTTATGACAGTACCGTACTTCGTAAAAGGCTATTGCCGTGCAGGCGAGCAACGCAGAGGTGTGTGATGTGAAGGCCCAAGAATGCTCCACGAACAAGGTGAAGGCGTGAGGAGAAATCGAGGGGTGAAGGAAAACAAGGTAAAATCGAGGGACATTGGGGGGACAAGGAGGGAAGAAGCGGATTTTCCGGTGTTCCCAAACCATGTGACACATGCCCAAAAGCATACATTTAGTAAGAACACGGGGTCTTACGACATTAGGAGCCAACAAGGGAATACTTACGTAACACACGAGCACTGAGAGTTTCGAACTCTCGAGGGCAGAGCCGATGTACTTAGCAGGCACACGCCATAACCACTCGGCCAAATACCCTTGTCTCTAATGGGTACCTCATTATATTTATAAAGATTAAACAAAGTGGATTTTCTGGTGTCCCCAAACCAGGTGACACATGCCAAAAGAAAACATTTAGTAAAAATATGACAACTTACTCCATCCGGAGCCAAAAGGGGAACCTTTGATATATCCTCGAGCACTGAGAGATTCGAACTCTCGCGGGCAGAGCCCATGTACTTAGCAGGCACACGCCTTAACCACTCGGCCAAATGCTCTTGATATTGCTAGTTTGTTAATAAATTTGACTTCATTTTTTATTATTGTTTATCCTGCAAACTTGGTAGAAGCATGGTAGATCCAATTTACTTCAACACCACCGTACTAAGTGCCGGACTGTATGCACCTAGGCATTTAGAGGCGTAAGCCTTAGCGAAACATGACATTGCTGTTGCTCTATTGCACATTATTCCCTCTTTCACTCCCTCCTCTCCAGCCTTTGCCTCCCCTTCTACCCGTCCGCTCCCTCCTCAGTCTCGGTGCGGTAGCAAACAGCCAGGTACAGCCAGGTGATAAGCATCCAGCTGCCAGTACTTGCTGCTCTACTGAATTTCCACACCCTCTTTTCCCTCCCTTTCCTCCTCCCCCTCCCCCACTTCACCCTCCTCTCCCTCACCACGGTAGCAAAACAGGCAGGTGACAAGCATCCAGCTGCCAGTACCTGTGCCGCACCCCTGGCCTCCTTAACAGCTGTAGCCTTTATTCCCCCCCACTCCTACCCCTCCTCTCCCTTCTCCCCCTCCTCCCCCTCCTCTGTCTCATCGTGGTAGCAAACAGGCAGGTGGTAAGCATCCTGCCAGTACCTGTGCCGCATCCCCGCCCTCCCCTACTGCACTTCCCCACCCTTTATTCCCCCTTCTCCCCTTCCACTTCCTCTGCACGGTACCAAACGGGCAGGTGATAGGCATCCAGCTACCAGTACCTATGCCGCACCCCCACCCACGTACCTATGCCTCCTCCCCCTCCTCCTGTTCCTTCTCCTCCTCCCCCTCCTCTGTCTCATCACGGTAGCAAACGGGCAGGTGATAAGCATCGAGCTGCCAGTACTTATGCCTCACCCCCGCCCACGTGTCCCCATCCAAGCACTGGCTGATCAAGAGAGGGATGAACTGCGTGGTCAGCCCCACGTGCTGCTGCAGCTCCAGGGCTACACATGTGCCAGCACCTGCTATTCTATTGCACTTCCTCACCCTCTTTTCCTTCCACTTCCTTCTCTTCCTCTATCTCCTCTCCATCCTCCCCCTCCCCCCCCCTCCTCTCCCTCATCACAGTAGCAAACGGGCAGGTGATAGGCATCCAGCTGCCAGTACCTATGCCGCACCCCCGCCCACGTACCTATGCCTCCTCCCCCTCCTCTCCCTCCTGTTGTTCCTTCTCCTCCTCCCCCCCCTCCTCTGTCTCATCACGGTAGCAAACGGGCAGGTGATAGGCGTCTAGCTGCCAGTACTTATGCCGCACCCCCGCCCACGTGGCCCCATCCAAGCACCGGCTGACCGGCAGGGGAATGAACTGAGTGGTCAGCTCCACGAGCTGCTGCAGCTCCAACGCTACTATGTGGCAGTAGACGGTGTGGAAGAAGGCGTTGTCGCCACACATGCCGTTGAAGAAGGAATAGAGCCCGCTGGGTTTCAGTAGCTGTGGAAGGTGGGAATGGAACTCTCGGAGATCATCGTAGTATTCTCCATATGTGTCAAAGAAGATGCCTGGAGATGGGAGGGGCGGGGGAGGAAAGGGAGGGGCAAGGGGAGGAAGTAGCAGAGGGAGGAAAAGAGAGGGATGAACTGAGTGGTCAGGCCCACGTGCTGCTGCAGCTCCAACGCTACTATGTGGCAGTAGACCAGACGGTGTGGAAGAAGGCGTTGTCGCCACACATGCCGTTGAGGAACGAGTAGAGCCCGCTGGGCTTGAGGAGGGAAGGGAGGTGGGAGTGGAATTCGCGAAGATTGTCATAGTATTCTCCATACGTGTCAAAGAATATGCCTGCACGGAGGGTAGGGGACACCGAGAGGGGGAGGAAAGCAAGGCCACTCAGCACATGTGGCAGTAGACCAGACGGTGTGGAAGAAGGCATTGTCGCCACATGCCTGTAGGTAGGGAAAGAGAAGGGAGGGGCATGGAATGGGAGGGGCAAGAAGAAGGCGTTGTTGCCACACATGCCGTTGAAGAAGGAGTAGAGCCCGCTGGGCTTGAGGAGGGAAGGGAGGTGCGAATGGAACTCCTGGAGGTCGTCGTAATATTCTCCGTATGTGTCAAAGAAAATTCCTGAATGGAGAAAAGGGGCAGGGAAAAGGAGGGACAAGAAACGGAAGGGACAAGGAGAAAGAGGGGCAAGAAAAGAGGCGTTGTTGCCGCACATGCCGTTGAAGAATGAGTAGAGGCCGCTGGGCTTGAGGAGGCGCGGGAGGTGCGAGTGGAACTCGCGGAGATCATCGTAATATTCCCCGTAAGTGTCAAAGAATATGCCTGCTTTGACAGAAATGAATGCAGGGAGATGGAGGGAGAGGGAAGGATGGACAAGGAAAGGGAGGGGCAAGAAGAAGCAGAGGGATTGAGAGGCAACACATGTGGCAGTAGACCAGACGGTGTGGAAGAAGGCATTGTCGCCACACATGCCGTTGAATAAGGAGTAGAGGCCGCTGGGCTTGAGGAGGCGCGGCAGGTGGGAGTGGAATTCACGAAGATCGTCATAGTATTCTCCATACGTGTCAAAGAATATGCCTGCATGGATGGGAGCCAACGCATAAAGTTTCAACCTGGATCCAGCAGGTGACTCGTCCTACTCCAACAGGTAACTTGTCCTAATGGCAGAGCTTAGGGAGAGGCATGACAAAACAATGGGAGAAGAAGGCATGGGGTGATGATGTGGCAGCACGTGCTAGCAGCTGTGGTATGAGGCGCCTAGCAGCTGTGGTATGAGGCGCCTCCACTCAGAAAATGACTTACCAGCAGCTACAGTCCTGCCATCACCCTTCCACTGTCTGCTGTGGTAAACCACCAGAAGACGGAAGGAACTGCACCAACTACCCCATTTGCAGAAGGTATATTACCAGCTGTACCCAGAATACTCACCGTCGTATTGCCCTAGTTGCGGTAACACGTCTTGCCATCTCCCCTCCACCACCCTCACTCCCTCCCTAACTTGCCACCCCTCCCCTACCACCGTACTGCCCAGAAGCAACAGCATCAAATATACCACAACAGCAGGGGAATTACCAGTTGTACCCGCAATACTCACCATCGTATTGGCCCAGTTGTGGTAACACGTCCTGCCATCTTCCCTCCACCACCCTCACTCCCTCCTTCTCATGCCACCCCTCCCCCTTCATCCTCGCTATAACGTCCGGATGCGCTTCCACTATAGTGTGCGATCGAATCCCGCCTTCCGATTGGCCGATGCGTGCTGCAATGGCGGTGTCTATTATACCCATGCCAAACCCGATATTGAGAATATCTCCTCCCTGAAGGGTAGAGAGGGAGAAGGAAGGGTTGGGAGTGGTTGGAAAAGGTCGAGAAAGCAGCAGTGACAGTGCAGTGTCTAATAAGCCCATGCAAACCCGTTGGTGGGAATATCGCGTCCCCGAAATGAAGGAAAAGCAGGGAGAACGGCAAGAAGAGAGAGCAAAAACCCATGCTGATGGTGGGAAGGCGAGAGAGAGAGAACGAATGCCTATGCGAGCAACATGGGTACAACAGGACACATAATACCATACCCACCCACCTATTGCCAAATGGCTTCAACCAGACTCTAGTCCAGCATGTAGTACCACACAACACAACACCGCGCAGCACCGTACAGCACCGTACAGACCGTACAGCACCGCACAGCACCGTACAGACCTGCTGCTATAACACACACAGACCTGCTGCTATAACACACACCTGTTGCAGATGGCTTGGGCGTGTGCTTGCATGAGATGATGAGAGCCCCCCCCCACCGCATCATCACTCCCCCTCCCACCGCTCCGCATCATCACTCCCCCTCCCACCGCTCCGCATCATCACTCCCCCTCCCACCGCTCCGCATCATCACTCCCCCTCCCACCGCTCCGCATCATCACTCCCCCTCCCACCGCTCCGCATCATCACTCCCCCTCCCACCGCTCCGCATCATCACTCCCCCTCCCACCGCTCCGCATCATCACTCCCCCTCCCTCCCCGTCCACCAATCAACCAGTCTCTATTCCAGCACACACACACATGGTATTTTCACAACACAATGCACACAAGACATACAGCACTGTATTGTACCCACCCGTAACCCGTTGGCAGATGGCTTGCGCGTGTGCTTGCATGAGCGCCCCCTCCCACTTCATCATCACACCACCCCCCTCCCCATCCACCAGTCGACCTGTCTTTACCCCAGCCTGTAGAACATACGATCTAAAACACCTGGCACCGCACAGCACCTCACAGCACAGCCCCGTGCCCACCTGTTGGCAGATGGCTTGCGCGTGGGCTTGCATAAGAGCCCCCTCCCACTACTTCATCACACCACCCCCCTCCCCATCCACCAGTCGACCTGTCTTTACCCCAGCCTGTAGAACATACGATCTAAAACACCTGGCACCGCACAGCACCTCACAGCACAGCCCCGTGCCCACCTGTTGGCAGATGGCTTGCGCGTGGGCTTGCATAAGAGCCCCCTCCCACTACTTCATCACACCACCCCCCTCCCCATCCACCAGTCGACCTGTCTTTACCCCAGCCTGTAGAACATACGATCTAAAACACCTGGCACCGCACAGCACCTCACAGCACAGCCCCGTGCCCACCTGTTGGCAGATGGCTTGCGCGTGGGCTTGCATAAGAGCCCCCTCCCACTACTTCATCACACCACCCCCCTCCCCATCCACCAGTCGACCTGTCTTTACCCCAGCCTGTAGAACATACGATCTAAAACACCTGGCACCGCACAGCACCTCACAGCACAGCCCCGTGCCCACCTGTTGGCAGATGGCTTGCGCGTGGGCTTGCATAAGAGCCCCCTCCCACTACTTCATCACACCACCCCCCTCCCCATCCACCAGTCGACCTGTCTTTACCCCAGCCTGTAGAACATACGATCTAAAACACCTGGCACCGCACAGCACCTCACAGCACAGCCCCGTGCCCACCTGTTGGCAGATGGCTTGCGCGTGGGCTTGCATAAGAGCCCCCTCCCACTTCATCATCACTCCCCCTCCCTCCCCGTCCACCAATCGGCTTTCAGACAGCTGCAGTCGCTCCGACAGGTAGGCGGCATTTGAGGCAGGTGCTGACTGCTCCGCTGCTCCTGCTGCTGTGCTGCCACGTGTCAGGTTCCTACTGGCTGCCCCCAGAATGAGCTCTGATTTGATGCCTGTACAAGGGAACAATGCGTGAGAGATGGGGTAAAGGGAGGATAGGCAGGAAAGGAAAGGAAAAGAAAGGAAAGGAAAGGAAAGGAAAGGAAAGGAAAGGGAAGGAAGGGAAAGGAAGGGAAAGGAAGGGAAGGGAAGGGAAGAAGAAGGGAAGGCAAGGAGAGGAAAGGAAAGGAAAGGGGAGGAAAGGAAAGGAAAGGGAAGGAAAGAACGGAAAGGAAAGGAACATGGGGGAAGGGGACATGGGGGATAGCTGCAGCCGCTTCAACAGTTAGGCTGCATTTGGGCCAGGTGTCAACAGCTCTGCTACTCCTGCTCCTGTTGCACTTGCTGCTGTGCTGCCACGTGTCAGGTTCCTACTGGCTCTTCGAGAATGAGCTCTGATTTGACGCCTATCTCCCACCCTTGCCCCTTCCCCAATCCCCTTTCCCCACCCCCCCCCATGTTCACACTATGCCAAATGCCCCCCAGCACCCCAGCAGCACGCACACTGTTTCCAGATCTGAAAGATCTCCCAGCAGCAGAAAGAGGTGACTTTTGAGTGCAAAACAATTCGACTCAATAGTTATCTCCCAGCAGCAGAACGAGGTGGCTTTTGAGTGCAGAACGATTCGACTCAAAAGTTATCTCCCAGCAGCAGAACGAGGTGACTTTTGAGTGCAGAACGATTCGACTCAAAAGTTATCTCCCAGCAGCAGAACGAGGTGACTTTTGAGTGCAGAACGATTCGACTCTATAGTTATCTCCCAGCAGCAGAACGAGGTGACTTTTGAGTGCAGAACGATTCGACTCAAAAGTTATCTCCCAGCAGCAGAACGAGGTGACTTTTGAGTGCAGAACGATTCGACTCAAAAGTTATCTCCCAGCAGCAGAACGAGGTGACTTTTGAGTGCAGAACGATTCGGCTCAATAGTTATCTCCCAGCAGCAGAACGAGGTGACTTTTGAGTGCAGAACGATTCGACTCAAAAGTTATCTCCCAGCAGCAGAACGAGGTGACTTTTGAGTGCAGAACGATTCGACTCAAAAGTTATTGTTAGAATTAGGCTGTCAACACTTTGTGTACTATATTCTATATCGCGTAGGTTATTTGTGGGTTGGGTGTAGTTTGTGATCCCAACCCTATCTGGTTGGGATTCCCTCGTAATCCTGCAAATCTGCCAACTCACCAATTGGAGATTTGCTAGGATTCCCATCCCATCCTTTCCCTAGCCTTGCCCATCCCAACCTCGTTTGTACTTAAGGCCTAGTGCCTTCTTTCTTAATCAATCAGTTCAGTTACAATTCCGTCATGGTATCAGAGCTAGCACATTCCGCTCACGCGGAATCCGATCCTTGGCGTCGCGATCATTCTCTTCCTCTCGGCTATGGCGTTCTTGGTTCACGCCTTCTTCGCTTAGCATTTTTTCGTCTTCACATCGTAGCACTGATCAAAAGCGGTTTCCCGCTCTGTCTACGTGCATTTCCGATTTCCACGGCGGCACATTTCTCCGTCAATTTCCTTCATCGTAAGCTCTGAAATTTCAAATTTCCGTGGCAATTTTCTCACATTCGAAACTTCCAGCAGGTTCAGCGGCGCAGCAGAGCAGGTCAGCGGCGCAGTAGAGCAGGTTCAGCGGCGCAGCGGAACAGGTTCATCGGCGCAGCAGAGCAGGTTCAGCGGCGCAGCAGAGCAGGTTCAGCGGCGCAGCAGAGCAGGTTCAGCGGCGCAGCAGAGCAGGTTCAGCGGCGCAGCAGAGCAGGTTCAGCGGCGCAGCAGAGCAGGTTCAGCGGCGCAGCAGCACAGGTCAGCGGCGCAGCGGAACAGGTCATCGGCGCAGCAGAAAAGGGGTCATCGGCGAAGCAGAGAAGCAGAACAGGAATCGCAATCTTATTGGCAAAATCGCACCTTTTCGCTCCGCTTCGCTCCGCTTCGTATCGTTGACTTTAGCGCTGCGCTCCGCGCGAATGGCGACTTCAGCTTCTACCCTCGTCGGAAACCTCATCATTCTCAACCTCGCTCCCAACGGCACGAGCACCAACTTTGGAGAATGGTGCTATGGGGTGGAGAAGCACCTCCTTAGCACGGAACTGAAAGGGATTTGCCTTAAGGACATCCTCCTCAACCGCGGCAAGGGAAAGATGCCTCTCCCTCCCGATCCCCTTGGCGAAGGCGCCACTGCCGCAGAGAAGGCCGCTTTTGACGCTCAGACCACCAAGTACGAGACTGATTTCAGTGTGTGGGAGCAGGCAGATGCAGCAGCTATTAGGGTTTTCATCACCACCACTCCGGTTGAGCTCGTCAAATCCTACCGCACCTTTCGCTCCGCTCATGCGATTTGGAAGTACCTCCAGGACCGTTTCCATGACAAGACAGCAGTGGGTGTTGCCATCCTCATCCCTCGAATGTTCCAAGTCCGCCTTGAGGAATGCCCTGGCATGGCAGATTACATCTTTGAAATCCGCAACATCCATGAGGAACTCAAGGACATTGGGATCATTTTCCCCGAACAAGCACCTGCAGCTGGCCTACTTGTAGGACTGACCCCGGCCTACAATGTCACCAGCTCTATGCTCAAGCAACTTCCCACCAAGGAACTCACCTTCGAAAAAGTCGCATCAGCTCTCCTTTCCGCCGAAAAGGACCTTGCAGCCCAAGCATCCGTCAATGCTGTGCGATTCACCCCTGGAATCCCATTCCGCTCCCAACAAGGACCAAGGCGCAACTCCTTTCCCCCATGCCCCTACATCATTAGGAAAGGCCCACGTGCGGGGCAGTAATGCGGAGGCACCAACCACCCAGAGGCAACTTGCTTCAAGAAGCGAGATGATGAGTGGTACGACGTCCATGGTGTCTCCACCAACAAGCGCCCTCCCAACTGGGCCCCACCCCGTCGCGTGAACTATGTCGAGGCAGTGGAGGTGCCTAGTCCCTCAGTTGATAGCACCCCATCTGATATTCGCCTCAACCTGTTGTTCTCAGGTGCTGGTCTTATTAATGAGAAGGGGTCACAGTACATCGGGGTTTCAAACACACAAGGGATCCGACAAAACCATGCTTTTTCATCACCGCCTTGGCCACATCAACTTTCGCGCGCTTTCAGACCTTGCCACAAAACAACTCCTCCACGGGCTTCCAACCTCACTTCCCTCTCCTACCTCCACCCTAGGGCCGCCTTGCCTTGACTGTGCACAGAGCAAGCTTCGTGAACAGCCCCATCCCCCCATTGAGTCCATCTCCGCTGCACCTCTCGATCGCGTGCACATGGACCTTCGGGGCCCAGCTCCTGTTCGCTCTCGCGGTGGACACTTTTACTTCCTTGTCATTATTGATGACTACTCCCGCTATGTGTTTGTCCACATTCTCTCCTCCAAATCCGAAGCCCCAGGCGTGATCATTGAATGGGCGAAGCAGGCTCATAAACACTTCAAAACCACCATCAAGGTCCTTCACTCTGACGGCGGCGGTGAATTCTGCAACAACACTCTCAAAGCTTACTGCTCCACTGAGGGTATCCGTCAGACCTTCACTCTCCCAGACAGTCCCCAACAGAACGGTATTGCCGAAAGCCGGAACCGTACATTGGTGCAGATTGCTCGCTGCCTCCTCACGCACGCCTCTGCCCCTCCCTCTCTCTGGGGGTACGCCATGCTTCATGCTGCCGCCCTCCACAATCCCCATCCCCATCCTCATCACACCCACACCACCCCCGCTGAGCTATGGATGGGTCAAAAGCCATCCGTCCGCCCTCTTCGTGTATGGGGATGCACTTCTTATGTCCTCCTCAACTCCCAAGCCCGTCGTGCGGCTGGCGGCAAACTTGCTCCCAAAACGATCACGTGCGTATACCTCGGGCACAACTTAGACTCGTCAGACTATCTCTTCCTCCATCCTTCCACCAACAAGCTCTATCGCAGCCGGGACGTTTACTTTGATGAGTCCCACCCATTCTACCCCTCCTTCAAGGCTTCCCCCTCTCCTCCGCCTCCCTCTCTTACTTGGGCTGACTTTGACAGTCTCCCTCTTCCCGACACTCCATCTCCTCCTCTTCCCGCTCCCTCCACCATTTCTGATCCCCCATCACCCGCTTCCCCCTCCAGTACCACACAGTCTCCCTCGCTCCCTCCCTCCTCCGCTACCCATCCTCCATCTCCTCTCGCATCTCCTCCTACCGAGCCCGTTCCTCTCAAAACCTACCAACGCCGTCACCCAGCTCCTCCTCCTCCTGCTCCCACCCCTGATCCCGATCCTGTCTCCACTCTCCCTCCCACCCCCACCTCCCCTTCCGCTACGCCTACTCCGGCCCCGCCTCCCTCACCCATCGCTTCTCGCACCCGCTCTCGCACACCTCCACAACCGTTCTCCCTTTCCGTTCGCGTCTCTCTCAATCCTCCTCCTGTCGGGGGTGATTATTCTCTCATGCCATCCCTCCTTGAAGACAGACATGAGGAGTTGATTGATATCGACTCAGCCATCCACGCACTATGCTCCCTCTTTCCAGACATCGCAGACTCTCCCACCCTCAATTTCTCCGACAACCCTTCCATCCCCACACCTCTCACCTATGCTGAAGCAGTCTCTGGTCCTCACGCCGCTCAGTGGATGGGGGCCATTGTCGCAGAATGTGAGGCCTTCATTCACACAGGAACTTTCACAGACGTCTCTCCTCGCTCCGGCGTTAACATTGTGAAGGGAAAATGGGTCTTTCGGGTGAAACAACTTCCAGGCGAATTTCCTGTCTTCAAAGCTCGGTACTGTGCCAAGGGATTTACCCAAAAGCGTGGACTGGACTTCTTTGAGACATTCTCTCCCACCGCCAAACCTCCCACACTGCGCACTCTACTCGATGTGGCTGCTCGAGATGACATGGAGGTTGACTGCATGGATGTGTCTTCTGCGTTCCTGCAAGGGATCCTTCGAGAGGAAATCTATATGGAGCGGCCCGAAGGATTTCCAACTCCTTTTCCACCAGGCACTGTATGGAAGCTGAATCGGCCAGTGTATGGCCTCAAGCAAGCTCCCCGGGAATGGCACAACAAGCTAAAGAGCACCTTAGGGTCCCTCGACTTTCACCCATCCACCTCTGATCCCAGCCTCTTCATCCGAGCAACACCCTCCCGGTTCTTCATCCTCGTTTATGTCGATGACATGATCCTTGTCACCAAGGATCAGACTGAGCTGGCAGCAGTCAAAACCGCACTTGGTGAGAAGCTGGCCATGAAGGACCTTGGGAAGCTGACGAACTATTTGGGAATGGAAATCACACGTGATCGCACAGCCCGCACCATCACCCTTTCGCAGAAGTTTTACATCAACAACGTTCTGACGAGGTTCCAGATGCAGGAAGCAGCATCAATGCCCACCCCACTCTCTCTGCAACACCAACTCACTGCACCCTCCGTTCCCTCACCTGAGCCCTGTGACGAGCCTTACCCCGAGCTTGTGGGATCCCTCATGTACGCGATGATGTGCACTCGACCAGACTTAGCCTATCCAGTCAGTGTACTGTCCCACTACGTTGCACCTGGTCGCTTCACTCGCCACCACTGGTCTGCCGCCAAGCAGGTTCTTCGCTATCTCAAAGGCACACAGGATTATGTGCTCACACTTGGCGGCACTTCACCGGTTCGCCTTGAGGGGTACAGTGACTCATCCTATGCTGATGACCACAGTGATCGGCGCTCGTCCCAAGGGTATTGCTTTACCCTTGGCAGTGGGGTTGTAAGTTGGCGCTCCACAAGGTCGTCCTCCGTCTCACTGTCGACCTGTGAGGCAGAGCTGTATGCCGGGACCATGGCTGCACAGGAGGCTCGTTGGCTCTCCTTCCTGTTGACAGAACTGGGGTATCCCCAACCAACCCCAACGCTTTGGTGTGACAACGAGAGCACCATTCATCTCACCAAAGACCCCGTTTTCCATGGCCGCACCAAGCACATTGAAGTCCGTCACTACTTTCTTCGGGAGCTGGTGCAGCGCGAGCAGCTGAAGGCTGAACACATTGCCTCCGACTGCAACCTTGCTGACTTGTTTACCAAGTCGCTTGTTCGCGAGGATCATTACCGCCTCCTCTCGGCCATGGGTGTTGGGCCTCCTTGTGGCTGATGTGTTGCAGCCTAGGGGGTGTGTTAGAATTAGGCTGTCAACACTTTGTGTACTATATTCTATATCGCGTAGGTTATTTGCGGTTTGGGTGTAGTTCGTAATCCCAACCCTATCTGGTTGGGATTCCCTCGTAATCCTGCAAAGCTGCCAACTCACCAATTGGAGATTTGCTAGGATTCCCATCCCATCCTTTCCCTAGCCTTGCCCATCCCAACCTCGTTTGTACTTAAGGCCTAGTGCCTTCTTTCTTAATCAATCAGTTCAGTTACAATTCCCAGCAGCAGAACGAGGTGACTTTTGAGTGCAGAACGATTCGACTCAAAAGTTATCTCCCAGCAGCAGAACGAGGTGACTTTTGAGTGCACAACGATTCGACTCAAAAGTTATCTCCCAGCAGCAGAACGAGGTGACTTTTGAGTGCAGAACGATTCGACTCAAAAGTTATCTCCCAGCAGCAGAACGAGGTGACTTTTGAGTGCAGAACGATTCGACTCTATAGTTATCTCCCAGCAGCAGAACGAGGTGGCTTTTGAGTGCAGAACGATTCGACTCAAAAGTTATCTCGCAGCAGCAGAACGAGGTGACATTTGAGTGCAGAACGATTCGACTCAAAAGTTATCTCCCAGCAGCAGAACGAGGTGACTTTTGAGTGCAGAACGATTCGGCTCAATAGTTATCTCCCAGCAGCAGAACGAGGTGACTTTTGAGTGCAGAACGATTCGACTCAAAAGTTATCTCCCAGCAGCAGAACGAGGTGACTTTTGAGTGCAGAACGATTCGACTCAAAAGTTATCTCCCAGCAGCAGAACGAGGTGACTTTTGAGTGCAGAACGATTCGACTCAAAAGTTATCTCCCAGCAGCAGAACGAGGTGACTTTTGAGTGCAGAACGATTCGACTCAAAAGTTATCTCCCAGCAGCAGAACGAGGTGACTTTTGAGTGCAGAACGATTCGACTCAAAAGTTATCTCCCAGCAGCAGAACGAGGTGACTTTTGAGTGCAGAACGATTCGGCTCAATAGTTATCTCCCAGCAGCAGAACGAGGTGACTTTTGAGTGCAGAACGATTCAACTCAAAAGTTATCTCCCAGCAGCAGAACGAGGTGACTTTTGAGTGCAGAACGATTCGACTCAAAAGTTATCTCCCAGCAGCAGAACGAGGTGACTTTTGAGTGCAGAACGATTCGACTCAAAAGTTATCTCCCAGCAGCAGAACGAGGTGACTTTTGAGTGCAGAACGATTCGACTCTATAGTTATCTCCCAGCAGCAGAACGAGGTGGCTTTTGAGTGCAGAACGATTCGACTCAAAAGTTATCTCCCAGCAGCAGAACGAGGTGACATTTGAGTGCAGAACGATTCGACTCAAAAGTTATCTCCTAGCAGCAGAACGAGGTGGCTTTTGAGTGCAGAACGACTCGACTCAAAAGTTATCTCCCAGCAGCAGAACGAGGCGACTTTTGAGTGCAGAACGATTCGACTCAAAAGTTATCTCCCAGCATCAGAACGAGGTGACTTTTGAGTGCAGAACGATTCGACTCAAAAGTTATCTCCCAGCAGCAGAACGAGGTGACTTTTGAGTGCAGAACGATTCGACTCTATAGTTATCTCCCAGCAGCAGAACCCCCACCATTTCCGCCCTCCCCCCCCCACCCAAGTCACCTCTTCCTCTTCCTCCCCCTGATGCTCACCTCCCCCCGCCATCCCCTGACCCCCTTGATACACAACACAGCCTTATCAGCATCAATCAGTGTATCCAACACCTCTTGTCATCTTGCTTTCGCTTCGTTTTTCTCCTCCTCCTCTTCCGCCCCCTTCCCCACACGCCACCACCCCTTCCATTGCATAGTCCCCTGCGCTCTTCCCCCCCATATCCACCGCATTCCACACCGCCCCCCCCCCCCCCCAGCAGCGCCCACACCACCTCCGCCCTCTCCCCTCCCCAGCCTCCAATGAGCCACTAAGGACTTACCAGCATCAATCAGTGTATCTAGCACTTCTTGTCGTCTCGTTCTTTCCTCTTCGTTTTTCTCCTCCTCCCCCTCCGCCCCCTCCCCCCACGCCACCACCCCTTCCATTGCATAGTCTCCTGCGCTCTTCCCCCCCATATCCACCGCATTCCACACCGCCCCTTCCCCCAGTAGCGCCCGCACCACGTCCGCCCTCCCCCCTTCCGCCGCCGCCATCAGGGCTGTCTTCCCCTGCGCGTCCACGTCAGCATACGCCACGTCAGCGCCTTCTCTGGGGGTTTGAGAAGACGGGTTTTGGGTGGGGGGGGGAAGGGACGTGTGGGAAGAGAGGGCGGGAAGAGGAATGACGAAGAAGGAGGGCATGGAGGGAGGGGGAAAAATGAGGGGGTAAAAGGGGGCATAGGGGAGAAATGGGGCCGGGGGAAGCGGGAATGGGGAGGTAGGGGGAGGGTGAGAAGGGAGGGAGGGGGGGAGGCGGGAGGGGAGGCGGAGTGGGGGTGGTTTGTGGAGGAAGGTGGGGAAGAGGAGGGGAGACGTTAAGGGAAAGCGGAAGAGGATTGAAAGTGCTGAGTATGAGAGGATTGGGGAGGAGTGCTCTATACCGGCGCTAGTTATGACAGGGTTGAGGGTTTCAGGTTGAAGGTTTCGCTTATTTCATCGCGGTCGTACGGCGCAGCGAGCATACAAGCCCAGCGATCACGGATTTGAATCGCGGTTGTGCCGCCCAGACAGCAATTTCCCTAGTTACTGTACGAGGAAACCATTAGACGGGCCTCACTTGATGAGTTGCAGTACTGTAGTTAAATCGCCCTCGCGCGACGCTTCTATCAGCTGCCGATTCTTTGCCACGTCAGCCTCGGAGGTCTCTGCGTCAGCCATTGGCTGGCGATTCCTCGCCCCGTCAGCTTCGAGGTACCCGCGTCAGGCAAAGATGAGCGGCTAGTCGGTCGGAGCCAGGCTGGCGGTGGAAGATGTCAGTGAGTTGAAATAAACTAGCGATTGATCGCCTCTGACAAACAGCTTTCTATCGCATAAAACCGCAATAATGAAATTTGCCCGGCCCGTGTCGCTGGTAGATTCCAGGCACGATGTACGCGTCTGGTAGATTCTGATACATGTAGTCGTATTGACACGTACGGTGATAAATCAAACCTTGCGCGTTATTTCCAAAAGACAGGTGCTATATGGTAATACAAGTAATTAGCAACACGATGATGAGTGTTTGCCATGTCTTGATTTATTTTCTCCATCAGTTCAATAAGTGCTCAATATCAAACTTGTTGTACTAACAAAGACCGCAGATTAAATATACTAGTGATACCAGGATTACTCCAGTGCTTACACCTTGGGGTTAAGTACAGTATCGGAGTAAAACGTGTCGAAGCCTGGTGACTGGAAACTCTGAACACTCCCGGCCTGGCAGGCTAGAACCCCAGCAGACTTGTCATTCCAGATAGCCTCATCATTAGCACTCTAAGCTGCCAGGCTTTTTGCATAACCTAGAGATCCTACTGAGCCTCTAGTGTGTCGCTGCGTGTATCCACCACCCCTTCCTGGATTATTCCCCTGCCGTCATTTTACGACGTATTTACTCTTAGTAGGAATCAGGGTTTCTCGAGGGTTTGTCGCAATTTGTCGTTTTGTATGAGTGGGCGGATGCTGGTTTACTTTCGCGGGTTAATTATGCAAGGGCGAGACTGCGTTTCTCGCGATTGAGAGACTAATATCGACTAGATTGGTTATTCGTTATCGAGGTGTTTTGAGCGACTGCTTTGGTGACTCGTTATAGAGCGGAGCATGGGTGCCATTGCTCGGATCGAGCCGGGAGGGACAACAAAACGGCGAGTCGCGGAAGACAGCCAATGTCAGTGCGCGCCGATTTGAACGTCAGCATTATCTCTCCTCTAAATACTGTTGTTTCTATTCCCCTCGTCTTATTCAGCCGCCCGGCTTCCCCTTTCTCCTCCCTTTCTTGTTCCCGTCCTTTTCCTCGTCCCTTTCCCCGCCCATTTTTCTCTGAAATCCTTTCTTCAGTCTTCGATCATCTCGTGGACCTCATACCGCTGCGCCACTACCTCCCGTCGCAAGCTGACTCTGTCGCCCTGGTACGCGTTATAAGCTGTTTCTGTCGCCCTGATACGCGTTATAAGAAGAATTTGTCGCGCTAACGCGTTACAAAGCTTACTCTGTCGCTTCCGTAGGCGCTATAAGCTTACTCTGTTGCACTGACTCTGTTATGAGAACGTCCCAATCTCCACGGTACTTGAATATTATGCGCTGATGTCACTTTCGCACTTATATGGCGTGCTAGTTACCAAGCTACCCGAGCAAGCATTGCGTTTAACCTTTTCTTTTCCGATTGTTCCTTACCGTGTCCACTCCTTACCGAGTACAGAAGTATGAGAAGGTGGAGGGCGGCAAGGCAGAGGCGAAACGGGCAGCTAAGGAGCAGTCGAAGAAAGCAAAGAGGCTCAAGGTGAGACGACGAGAGTTGAGATCATTTGAGTCGAGGCGATGAAAATTCGAAGGAGAGCGAAGGGAGCTGAGGGGAGATGAAGTGATTTGATGCGAGGAAAATGCTTAGTTAAACATCTCCCTGGTTCTTCCCCTGCTTCCGCCCAGCTTCTACTCCTCCTAGTCCCTTCTCTCTTAGCCGAATCTTGGCCAGAAGGTGAAGCATCCGCATGCAGAGGCAATGGACCATGGACTGCCCAACCTTAAACCCTAAACCTCCAACCCGAAACCTCGATCCTTCAACTCACATCGTGTTCGTCTTGCATGTTCCACCCCCTTGCCTTCAGCTCACCCTCACACTCGCAGCTCCGCCGTCCCCGCATTTCCTCTCCCCCTCTCCCGCTTCTTCCCCTTTCCTTCCTGCCTCCCCCCCTTCCCCCCCGCTTCTCTCCCTCCTCCGTAGTTGGGCCCTGCAGCAACGCAGCTCACTCCTTGGGCGCTGCAGGCTAATCCAGGCGCTTCAAACTCCGCTTTGTCCTCCTTCCCCTCCCCCTACCCACTCCCCCTTTTCTCTCCTCTTCCCCCCTCCCCCAGCTGGACCCCGCAGCAGCGCAGCGCACCTCCCAACCTCCCAGGCGTGGAGGCGAAGTTCACCCCCTCTGGCTTGCTAGCAAGCAAGATTAACACCCCCCCCACTCTTTCCCCCCCACCTCTCCCCTCCCTCTCTTCCCCCCCCCCCCCCCCCCCCCCCCCAGCTGGACCCAGCAGCAGCGCAGCGCACCTCCCAGGCGCTGCAGGCGCGGCAGCAGCAGCAGGAGCAGGGGGGAGGGCGCGGGTTGGCGGGCGGATTCGGGGGAGGTGGTTTCGGGTCAGGGGGAGGGGGAGCTGGAGGGGATGGGAAGAAGAGCGGGAAGGGGGAGATGGACGATCCGATGGATCAACTGTTGAAAGAAGCAGGTGAGAGAGCGGTGCTGCGCGGTGGGAGGTGGTGGGGAGTGATGGTGCAAGGTGGTGGGTGGTGCTGGCTGCCATTGCTGGTGGATTTGAAGTTAGGGGGGGGGGAGGGAAGAAAGGGGGGAAGGGAGGAAGGGCGGGAAGGGGGAGATGGACGATCCGATGGATCAGCTGCTGAAGGAAGCAGGTGAGAGAGCGGTGCTGAGTGGTGGGAGGCAGTGGGGGAGGGAGGGGAGTGGTGCAAGGGTGGGTGTTGGTGCTTCTAGTGCTGGTCGATTTGAATCGGGGTGAAGGGGAAGGGAAGAAGGGCGGGAAAGAGGAGATGGACCAGCTGTTGAAGGAAGCAGGTGAGAGAGAGATGATTCGCGGTGGGAGGTGGTGGGGAGGAGAGGGGAGTGGTGCAAGGTGAGAGTGGTGGTGAGTGGTGCAAGGTGGTGGTTTTCTGGTTCACCCGTTTCCCTGTCTCCCTGTGCCTTTGCCCTTTTTCCCTGTCAGGAGTGGGGAGGAAGGGGCGAGCAGCGAACTACCGGGAGCTGAGAGCGCGGCTGCAGCAGCGTGGAGTGGAGGTGTCCTTAATATTTCCATTGCCTCTTTCAATCTTTCCATCGCCTCTTTCCCTGTCCCCCTATTCCCTTGTGCTTGCCAGGAGTGGGCAGGAAGGGGCGAGCAGCAGACTATCAGGAGCTGAGAGCGCGGCTGCAGCAGCGACTGGAGGAGCTGAGGAAGCGGAGGAACGCGGAGAGGGAGACGGGGAGAAATATAGAACCTTCTAGTTCAACCTTTTCCTTGTCTTTCTGTGCCTTTGCCCCTTGCCCCTGTCAGGAGTGGGCAGGAAGGGGCGAGCAGCAGACTATCAGGAGCTGAGAGCGCGGCTGCAGCAGCGACTGGAGGAGCTGAGGAAGCGGAGGAACGCGGAGAGAGCCTCTGCTGCTAGCGAGTGGCGGAAGAAACAGAGGGAGACGGGCGCTGAGGGGGACAAGAAGGGGAAGAAGGGGGGGAAGGAGCGGAAGAAGGGGAAAGGAGGCGTCGGGGGTGGGGGTGAGAGGGAGGGTGCGGTGGTGGGTGGTAAACGGAAGCAGCAGGAGAGGGAAGGGGATGGGGGGAAGGAGGGGAAGAAGGAGCGGATTGGGAAGGAGAAGGGTGGAGGGAAGGGAGGAAGAGGAGGGCTAGTGGGAGCAGCAGCAGCAGGAGGAGGAGGAGGAAGAGGAGGAGGGGGAAGAGGGGAGGGGCATGGGTTAGCAGATGATGAGGTGATTCCTTTGGATCTGGAGTTTGGGCGGGTGAAGCTGGGGGATAAGGCAGCAGCAGGGCCGGGGATGGGAGGCGGGAAGAAGGGGAAGAAGGACGGCGGGAAGGTATCTGCCAAGAAGCTTCTGGAGCAAGCGGCTAAGATTCAGGAGAAGCTCAAGGGGCGGAAGCTGGGAGATAAGGCCTTGGCTGAAGTGGTGAGTTGGTGACTGTGAGGTGAGCGGGAATTGGGGGGGACTGTGGGAGGGCGCGTGGGGTGTGCATGGAGCAAGCGGCTAAGATTCGGGAGAAGCTCAAGGGGCGGAAACTGGGAGACAAGGCACTGGCTGAAGTGGTGAGTTGGTGTGTGTAGGAGCACGTGGGTTTGAGAGCAGGTGACTGGGAGAGCATGAGTGTGAATGCAAGCTCAAGGGGCGGAAACTGGGAGACAAGGCCTTGGCTGAAGTGGTGAGTTGGTGTGAGAGATTGCAAGAATGGGAGACCAAGCTGCTTAGACCGGGAAGAAGGTCAAGGGGCAAAATCCGACAAATAAAGCTTTGGAAGAACTCCCTTTCCCTTCCATACCCATAGTGGAAGACCCGCGTGGTGGAAGACCCTCCTATATTGGTGGAAGATCCTCTTGGTGGAAGACCCTCCTTGTTACCTCACTCTCCTCCTCCTTCGCCTTCCCTTCCCTCATCTTCCCCCAAAAGAGCCACTCGAGCAAAGATTGATGCTTGTAGACATGCTTGTCAACTATTTTTGTTTTTGAGAATTCTCAAAAATACCTTGCAACGAGCAAAGGTTGATGCTTGTGTTCATTCTCTTTTCCTTCCACCCGTTCATGCCAATCGTGCTTTTTAACTGAGCGTGTTTTTTGAGAATTCTCAAAAAACACCTTCATGCCAATCGTGCTTTTTAACAGGCCCTCCTTCCCTCGCGTGTGCTCCTTTGCCTTCCCTCGCGTGTGCTCCTTTGCCTTCCCTCGCGTGTGCTCCTTTGCCTTCCCTCGCGTGTGCTCCTTTGCCTTCCCTCGCGTGTGCTCCTTTGCCTTCCCTCGCGTGTGCTCCTTTGCCTTCCCTCGCGTGTGCTCCTTTGCCTTCCCTTCTCTCTTGCCACCCCCGTTCCCCAGGAGACCCACCTGTGGAATGCGGCGAGCAGCAGGGCGGCGTGAGGAAAGGTTTTTGGCGATCCAAACATGTCTGTTCTAGTTCTGACCCCCCACCTCTTCTATGCCCACCTCAACCCCATGCTTCCATCTGTCTGACCCATGCCTGTATCGCCTCTCTCTCCTTTTCCAGGAGACCCACCTGTGGAACGCGGCGAGCAGCAGGGCGGCAGGCGGAAAGGTGTTTGACGATCCAAACATGCTCAGCAAGCAGCAGAAGAGGGAGCAGCGGCAGAAGGAGAAGAGCGCCAAGCTATGGTGAGCGGTGGAGTGCGGTGGTGTGTGTTGGGGTGCGTTGTCATGAGGTGGTGTGATGTGAGGGGTGGTGCGGGGTGTGGCAGATGGCACATGGCAGATGGCACATGGCACATGGCAGATGGCACATGGCACATGGCAGATGGCACATGGCACATGGCACATGGCACATAACACATGGCATGGTACATGGCACATGGCACATGGCAGTGCGCAAGGTGATGAAGGACTGGCAGGAAAATCGCCGGGGGAGCATGGAAGGGACGTTACTGCATGGCTTGTGCTGCACTAATTGCAGCCCGAAAATGCCGTCTTTTCCCTGCGTTTACATATTTCTATGTTAACAGGAAGGAGAGGCAGATGGCAGTGCGTAAAGCAATGAAGGACAGACAGGACAAGCGCAAGGGGAGGGGAACATGGATGGCAGGCACCTCATTGCATGACTTGTGCTGCACTCACTGCAAACCCGAACATGCTGTCTTATCCCTGCGTGTTTACAGGAAGGAGAGGCAGATGGCAGTGCGTAAAGCAATGAAGGACAGACAGGACAAGCGCAAGGGGAACATTCAGGAGCGAAAGGACAACAAGATCGCTGCTAAGATCGCTCGGGTAGGTGGTGTGAAGTTGAGGGGAGTATAGTGGGTTAGAGTGGTTTTAGTAGGTAGCATACATTCAGCATGGCATTGAGACAGGTGCAAGGGGAACATTCAGGAGAGGAAGAATGAGATTGCTACTAGGGTCGCACGGGTGGGTGGTGTGAAGTTGAGGGAAGTATAGCGGGTTAGAGTGAGGTAGCATACATTCAGCATGGCATTGGAACAAGCGCTAGGAGAACATTCAGGAGTGGGAGGACAACAAGGTTCCTGCTAAGGTCGCACGGGTAGGTGGTGGGGATTGGATGAGAGTATCGTGGGATAGAGTGGTATCAGTAACACAGCATGCAGCATGGGATGAGAAGGGTGCAGGGGACCATCGAGGAGAGGAAGAACAACCAGGTTGCTGCTAAGATCGCACGGGTAGGTGGAATGGAGGGAGGGAAGTATAGTGGATGAACGGGTAGGTAGTGGATGGACTTATTGGTTGGTGCGGTAGCAGCAAGCACAGCAGGATGCAGCACAGCCCGGCATTGTGTGGCAAGGTTTTCTACAGCATGGCATGTTCCTGTTGTTGCATGCATTCGCTACATGTGCTTATGTTTTTCATGGTGTTTGAAACGCACTTGTTTTTGTATCTGCAATTGAGTGCAGAGGGAGAAGAAGCTGATGCGGCCGGGCTTTGAAGGGCGGGCAGGGGGCACAGCGTTGAATGCTCAAGCAGCAGCACCCACACCATAAGACCACTTGAAGACATCTTTCCTTGCCGTTTCTAGAAACAACCCCTGGGCTTTGAAGGGCGGGCAGGGGGCACAGCGCTGAATGCTAAAGCAGCAGCAGCTACACCATGAGGGTGTTAGCACAGAACTTGAAGAAATATTTCCTTGGTGTTCTCAGAAACACACTTGGGGTTTTCAGGCCAGGCAGGGGATACAGTCACACGGGCCGTGAATGCCTGCCAAGGCGGCAGCTGCGGCTGCACCGTTGGTCAGTGTAACACTGCTGCTGGGAAAAATGTTTCTATTTGGCATTATTGAAATCATTGACTGCACTGTGAAGGCAGCAGTGCACTATGTAGCAGTGTGCATAGCTGCGAAACACACATGCTTTCGCGCTGTTGGAATGTGGCATGTGCGAGTGTAGATCGTTATCAGTAACATACTGAGTCCCATAAACCTGAAACATAATGACCTTGGCAGAAGTAGTCCGTCTCGTTCATCCACTCAGGGAGTGCCTTGAGGCGACTCCAGCCAGTCATCATCACCATTTTAGAGTAACCGTAACCGTAACGCACCATGGTAAAAGATGGATTCTATGTAGTAACAGAGCGGAGCGGCTTCTAGTAACGGAACGACTTTCTAGGGCGGAGGCGGTCGCGCTCATTCATCCAATCAGAGAGCGCCTTGAGACCCACCCCAGCCGCAATCAGCAGCAGCAGGAGTAGGCAAAGGAGAGTGATGATGACGGCCCAGCGCCGCACAGCAGGAGGAATGAACCCCTGGTGATGGGCGGTCAAAGGGGGTGGGCGGAGGGTTGGTTGGGATGGGATGCGCTTTTGAGTCGACTCAAAAGCAGCGCCGCACAGCAGGAGGAATGAACCTTTGGTGATGGGCGGTCAAAGGGGGTGGGCGGAGGGTTGGTTGGGATGGGATGCGTGAGAGAAGAGGGAGTGAGTGAGAGAAGCGAAAGGGGGTGAGTGAGAGAAGCGAAAGGGGGTGAGTGAGAGAAGCGAAAGGGGGTGAGTGAAAGTGGTGCCTTGAGGCCCACCCCAGCAGCAAGCAGCAGCAGGAGGGGAGGCGATGATGGCGCAGCGCCGCACCTTGTGAGGATGAAACAGCCATGCGATTCACGTGTATGAAGAAGTGTTTTGAGATGTCTCAAAACACCTCTTCATACACGCAGCCTGATTGTGCCATTCGATTCTGTATAAAAGTCTAAAGTAATTAGATAAAGGGCGTGCTTACAAGCAGAGAGGAAGAGGAATCATCTTCCTCGGCTGCTGTCTTCCTTCTTCTCCTTCTTGCTCCCCTCTGCTCATGCCATGTTGTCCCATGACATGCCATACCATGCCATGACATGACATGACATGACATGCCATACCATTCCATATGTCAGTGAAAGGGGTGAAAAAATGATGACATTGCCAAAAATTGCAAGGGAAAGAAGTTAGAAACAGTCTAGAAGTGGCATGGAGCGCAAAAAAAATGGCAAAAGTCACAGCAGCTTCTGCTACAGATTCGGTTTCAAGACTAAGGCAGCTTCTGCAGCAAATTAGGCTGTGAGGCCTTGACACACGAAAGCACTCACTTGCTATAAGCGCTCTCAGTGTAGAAAATGTATCGTGTGCACTCACTTGTAATGAGGTGACTTTTAAGTCGACTCAAAAATTAGGTTGTGAGGCCTTGACACACGAAAGCACTCACTTGCTGCTCCAGCCACTTACAGCAGCATCTGCTTCAGGTCGAATCCTCCCAGCCCTCTGCTACTGCGGCTGCTACTAGCAGTGCCACCTTCATACTATCAATGCAAAAGTCAAACACACAAGACAAGATTATAAACACTCACAGCTGCTTCTGCTTCGAGTCGAAGCCTCTCAGCCTCTGCTGCTGCGGCTGCCTTCCTCTCTGCCTCTCTTTTCTCCTCCGCCTCCCGCCTCTTCCTCTCCTCCTCCTGAATGCGCCGGCACTCGTCGTCACATGGTATCAGCCCTACCCCCACCATTGACTCCCGTAGTCTCCCACCACCACCGCCCCCGCCACTGCTGCTGGCATTGGTGCTGCAGTCTATGCTGCTGGAGGGGTTGCTTGCACCGTTGGCAGCGGCCTTGGCAGTGGCGGATTGCACTTGGGAGCACAGCCACTCTTTCTTGAGGCGCAGGCATGCACAGCGCACCGTGACCTGTGGAATGTGGGAAGTGGGTGGGAAGAAGGCAAGGGAAACATATGATGGAGACAAAGAGCAGCACACAGACATCTGGTTGGTTGCAGCTTTGGCAGTTTCGGATTGCACTTGGGAGCACAGCCACTCTTTCTTGAGTCGCAGGCATGCACAGCGCACGGTGACCTGTGGAATGTGGGGCAAACGGGTAGAGATGGAAGGGGAGGGGCGGCATAGAACAAAGGTCCAGTGGTGGGGTTGCTGGCTCCGTTGGCAGCAGCTTTGGCAGTGCCGGTTTGCACTTGGGAGCAGAGCCACTCTTTCTTGAGTCGCAGGCATGCACAGCGCACCGTGACCTGTGGAAAGTATAAGTGGACACATGCATGAGGCTATGTTGGCATATACGCGATTTGTGTATTATACGCCAGTGCGTAATACACTGGCGTAAATAAGAGATAATCAGGGGGTCCATTCAGTGGGCCAGAATGAGCAAAAACAGAAGCACAGGTGCAACAATTGTGCACACGTGGACCCATGCACCCATGCACCCATGCACACATGCACCCATGCACACATGCACACATGCACTCATGCACACATGCACCCATGCACACATGCACCCATGCACACATGCACCCATGCACACATGCACATAATGCAGACATCAACAACACACAAGTGCACCAAACAAGCACGGACACGCACAGCCCACTCTCTTGCGGAACTGCGTTGGCTTGGTTGGGGCATGGGCAGGGCTGACACATCACAATCCGTAGCACTTTTGAGGCGCCTCAAAACATGAGACGACTTTTGAGGCGCCTCAAAACATGATTCGACTTCTGAGGCGCCTCAAGAACTGCGTTGGCTTGGGGCATGGGCCGGGCTGGCACATCACAATCAGTAGCACCAACACCTACAAGCACGCTTACATGCAATGCAAGCACGGACACGCACAGCCCACCTTCTTGCGGCATTGCGTTGGCTTGGGACGGGAGCTAGGATAGACACATTTCCACACACATGTGCGAACAGAAGCACTCACACATGCACACATCCAATAATGCCCGTATGCACACACTTGCACACGCGCAAGCATGCACACACTTGCACACGCGCAAGCATGCACACACTTGCACACGCGCAAGCATGCACACACCCACACCCCACCCTCTTGCTACACTGCGTGGGCTTGGGCTTGGGGCAGGAGCCAGGGTGAGAGCAGCAAGAGAAGCAGAGATGCACACATGTGCTGACACACGCGTGAACACACGCACACACGTATGCACGCACACACGTATGCACGCACACACGTATGCACGCACACACGTATGCACGCACACACGTATGCACGCACACACGTATGCACGCACACACGTATGCACGCACACACGTATGCACGCACACACGTATGCACGCACACACGTATGCACGCACACACGTATGCACACACACACGTCTGCACGCACACACGTATGCACACACACACGTCTGCACGCACACACGTATGCACGCACACACGTCTGCACGCACACACGTCTGCACGCACACACGTATGCACGCACACCCCACCTTCATGCGGCACTGCGTTGGCTTGGGGCAGGGGTCGGGATGACTCGTTTCCACACACGTGTGAACAGAGGCACTCACACACAAGCACAAGTGCGCGCACACACAGATGCACAAGTGCACACAAGCACACCCCACCTTCTTGCGGCAGTGAATGGGCTTGGGGCAGGGGTCGGGATGACTCGTTTCCACACACATGTGCGAACAGAGGCACTCACACACAAGCACAAGTGCGCGCACACACAGATGCACAAGTGCACACTCCCACAGCCCACCTTCTTGCGGCACTGCGTTGGCTTGGGGCAGGGGCCGGGATGACTCGTTTCCACACACGTGCGAACAGAAGCACTCACACAAGCACACACATGCACACATGCACACACACAAACCCACCTTCTTGCGGCATTGTGTGGGCTTGGGGCAGGGGCCGGGATGACTCGTTTCCACACACATGTGCAAACAGAAGCACTCACACAAGCACACACATGCACACACACATGCACACACACAGCCCACCTTCTTGCGGCACTGAGTTGGCTTGGGGCAGGGGCCAGGGTGACACATTTCCACACACATGTGCGAACAGAACGGCAGCTTCCTGGAAGGTGCAGGGTGAAAGACGAGAGCACAGAGAGTTCAGAAAGGAGGGGATGTCACAGACAGAGTTCGTTACTATGGAGGAGTGTCAATCTCAGAGTAAAGGGGCGGTCGATATTTGCCTCACCCACCTCAACCTGGCAATGAAACACTCACTTGTGCCAGCTCCGTTACTCACTTGTAGCAGCTCCGTTACTCACTTGTAGCAGCTCCGTTACTCACTTGCGGCAGCTCCGCTACTCACTTGCGGCAGCTCCGTTATACCCATTTGTGCCAGCTCTTGTACTCAATTGTGGCAGGGCCCAGTGCCAGACAGCACCTTGACTCTCTCTGCCTCCATCATTGGTTGTCGCTATCCCAAAACCTTGAATAAATGCTTGCAAAACCCTTAAAACTCACTTGTGACAGCCCCGTTATACTCACTTGTGGCAGGGCCCCGTGCAGGAAACCATCTTGACTCTCTCCGCCTCCGTGGCAGCGCTCCATTGGCCACACTCGATCGCATGGGTCATGATGCCACAGTAGCACCGTTTCCTCAAAGGGTTTTTGCACGGCGGGCAGCTGCCCGGATGGCACGGCTCCGGGCAGGGATGCGCGCATGGAGGGTCCCTGGGCTGCCCAGGGAAAGAAAAAGAGGGATAGTTGATGAGAGAAGATGGGATATAACAGGGCTGTTTGTGTGTGAAATTCCACAAGAACCTTGAGAGACGTTGACACATTGTGTGTTCCCTTGAACGCGGCATCCTACATCTGTAGAATTGAGTTGACACCATGAAGTCTTGAGTACGTACCTCACCTTCTAGACTGCATCCTTGCAACGGAAGAAAGCGATACCAACCTTGAGAAGCGCCATAGAGAAGCATCCTGTACTGAAGAAGAAGAGGAGGATTTGGTGGAAGTCAGAGCCGAAGCTAGGGGAGATCCTGGGGCTGTTGTTTAAGACAATCCACACACTGCTTGCTGCAGCTGTCATGCATTGAGGCTCTCCTTGCGTTTTCAAGAACCCCTCTGAGGCTTCAGCGTCAGAACGGAGAGAAAGAAGAGCCTCAACACGTGGTAGCTGCAGCAAGCGGTGTGTGGATTGTCTGCTTTTGAGTCGACTCAAAAGCAGACTCAACACGTGGTAGCTGCAGCAAGCGGTGTGTGGATTGTCTGCTTTTGAGTCGACTCAAAAGCAGACTCAACACGTGGTAGCTGCAGCAAGCGGTGTGTGGATTGTCTGCTTTTGAGTCGACTCAAAAGCAGACTCAACACGTGGTAGCTGCAGCAAGCGGTGTGTGGATTGTCTGCTTTTGAGTCGACTCAAAAGCAGACTCAACACGTGGTAGCTGCAGCAAGCGGTGTGTGGATTGTCTGCTTTTGAGTCGACTCAAAAGCAGACTCAACACGTGGTAGCTGCAGCAAGCGGTGTGTGGATTGTCTGCTTTTGAGTCGACTCAAAAGCAGACTCAACACGTGGTAGCTGCAGCAAGCGGTGTGTGGATTGTCTGCTTTTGAGTCGACTCAAAAGCAGACTCAACACGTGGTAGCTGCAGCAAGCAGTGTGTGGATTGTCTGCTTTTGAGTCGACTCAAAAGTGGATTGTCTTGAACAACAGCCCCAGGATCCCCCCTAGCTTTGGCTCTGGGTTGACTTCCACCCAATCCTACTCGCTTTTGAGTCGACTCAAAAGCAGGCTCTGGGTTGACTTCCACCCAATCCTACTCGTCCTGTTTTAGCACAGGCTGAATATGCTTCTCTATGGCGATGAATACCTCCCGTACGTAGGTTTGGAAGGGAGGATAGTGCAAGGGACCAACCTTCTGACATGGTCGCTTGCAAGGGTAGCATGTGTCACGAGGCAATCTCCTCCCCTCCTCCCCTCCCTCCTCCACCTCCCTCACTCCCCCCTCCTCCTCTCCCTCCCCTGCCACCAACACTCTCTGTCCATCTACGGTTCGCGGGCGGGTGATGACGTGGCATGCCAGCTGGCATGCATGGTTACCGCATGCAAGGGGGTTACCGCAGGGTAGCTCGCACGAGAAGGCAGGGTCGTGTGAGCAGGGGAGCTGGGTGTGGGTGGGGGGTAGAGGGGAGAGGGGAGGGAGCGGGAGGGAAAAGGACCAAAGGGAGTATTAGAAACGCTATTGCATGCAGCTACTTTTGAAATTTTCTCAAAAGGGCCGACAGGAGTATCAGAAAAGCTATTGCATGTAGTCACTCCGTGCCAAGGGGCCACCACACCACATGACCAGGGGATAACCCCATGGTAGCTCGCATGAAAAAGCAAGGTCATTGTGAGAGCGGGGGAGCTGGGACGGGTGGGGAAGGGGAAAGGGCAAAAGGAAGAGTGCGAAACGTTACTACTGTGCTGTTACATAGTAGATACACACAGGCAGAGCAAGAGGGTTACCACATGACAGAGAGATGTAGCTGTATGGTTACCACATGCGAAGGGGTACTTGCATGGTGGCTTGCATAAGAAGGCAGGGTCGTGAGAGTAAGAGGCATGGCTATCCCTACTTCCGCTACCCCTCCTCTCCCTGTTCCTCTGCTTCTCCACTCCACCTCTTTAGGCCCCCGCACCACACCACACACCCCTAGATGCATCTACCTCGGTCGCTGTCCTGCCCCTCCGCATTCTCGCACTACCGGCACCATATACGCGGGGCACGGCGATCCTGCCTTCCCCTGCTTTCCCTGCTATCACCGCCCTATAGGCACACACTTACCTCACATTCCTGCCCCTGGTGCCTTCCTCCACATTCTCGCACTACCGGCACCACGACCCCGGCTTCCCCTGCCCCTCCTCATCCACCCTGCTACCCCTTGTACCAAACTCACAAACCCTTCCAGGCACCCATAGCACACACACCCAGGGGTCTCACCTCACACCCAGGGGTCTCACCTCACACCCAGGGGTCTCACCTCACACCCAGGGGTCTCACCTCACACCCAGGGGTCTCACCTCACACCCAGGGGTCTCACCTCACACCCAGGGGTCTCACCTCACACCCAGGGGTCTCACCTCACACCCAGGGGTCTCACCTCACACCCAGGGGTCTCACCTCACACCCAGGGGTCTCACCTCACACCCAGGGGTCTCACCTCACATTCACCCAGGGGTCTCACCTCACATTCCTGCCCTCCATGCCGCCCTCTGAATTCTCAAATGCACCACCGGCACCACACAGTGGGGGCACGGCGATCCTGGCTTCCTTTCCCTGCTACCCCTCATTCCACTCCTTCCTGACTAGAGGTAGCCTCTTGCGGAGTAATGAAGGGTTCGAAACGCAGCAAGCCGTGTGGTCGCCTTTTAAAACTTTCAGCTAAGTATGGGTGGGTTGCTTCGTAGGACTAGGAAAAAGGCATGAATGAGGACTTGATAAGTCTCAAAGTAAAAGTACTAAGTAGGCGTACGCGTTTCGGCCTGTGAGGCCTTCATCAGCGCCAGTTAGGATTACAAACACCTGTGAGGCCTTCATCAGCGCCAGTTAGGATTACAAACACCTGTGAGGCCTTCATCAGCGCCAGTTAGGATTACAAACACCTGTGAGGCCTTCATCAGCGCCAGTTAGGATTACAAACACCTGTGAGGCCTTCATCAGCGCCAGTTAGGATTACAAACACCTGTGAGGCCTGTGAGGCCTGTGAGGCCTTCATCACCCTTCTAGTCCCTTTTCTACCATTTTTTCCCGTTATCCTCTCAACCCCCCAAGTTCCCTAGGTCTAACCACTACCCAGGCGAAATCTGCCCGAACCACACAAGGCTGCCAACTTGGATCAGCATGGGACTACTCGAGAAATTCCCGAAGGCCCAAGGGAACTTCACCGCAAAACAGTAGGTGAGTCCGCTGTAGTGGGATTCACTGTAGAAAAGCGAGCCCTAACCAAACGTTCTGTAACCGTGTAGGTAACTTCCAACACACCAGAACCGGAGGGATTTGTAGGCCAGCTATATTGGAGTGACTTTTGAGAATTCTCAAATGCACCACCGGCACCACACAGTGGGGGCACGGCGATCCTGGCTTCCTTTCCCTGCTACCCCTCATTCCACTCCTTCCCTGCTATCCCTCATTCCACTCCTTCCTGACTAGACTCGAGGCAGGCACTTACCTCACATTCCTGCCCCTGGTATCTTCCAATGCACTCCCGCACCACCAGCACCACACATGCAGGGTACGGGGACCGCCGGCTTCCCCTGCTACCTACCCCACTTGTACCTTTCCAGGCACCCACACCACACAACCCCAGGGGCCTTACCTCGCACTCCTGCCCCTGGTGTCTTCCTTTGCACTCCCGCACCACCGGCACCACACACGCGGGGCACGGCGACCCTGGCTTTCCCTGCCGCTCCTCTGCTTCATCTGCTTCCCCACTCTCCCTTCCCAGTGGAGACTTACCTCGCACTCCTGCCCCTGGTGTCTCCCTCTGCATTCGCGCACCACCGGCACCACACATGCAGGGCACGGCGACCCTGGCTTTCCCTGCCGCTCCTCTCTACGCTCCCACACCCCTAGAGGCTAGAAGCACCTACCTCACACTCTTGACCCTCATGCCGCCCTCTGCACTCGCGCACCACCGGCACCACACATGGGGGGCACGGCGACCCTGGCTTCCCCTGCCCCTCCTCCTCCTCGCCCTCCTTCTTCCCTTTCTTCTTCTTCTTGGGTGGTTCAAGGGAGAAAGGAGGGTTGGGAGGCGGGCGGGGGCCGTGGCACCTGGCGGTAGGAAGGGGAGTGAAGAACAGTGGTAAGAATATGAGCATTATATTGTCCTCCTCCTCCTCGCCCTCCGTCTTTCATTTCTTCTTCTTGGGTGGTTCAAGGGAGAAAGGAGGGTTGGGAGCCGGGCGGGGGCCGTGACACCTGGTGGGAAAGGAAGGAAGGGGAAGGAAGGGGAGGGAAAGGGAGGGGAAGAGGGGGGAAAGGGAGGGAAAGAGGAAAGATAAGTGAGAAGGATCACTCCTCTCTCTCGATGCATCGAATCGAATCATCCTCCTCCTTAACCTTCTTCTTCCCTTTCTTCTTCTTTCTAGAAAGCTCACTGGAGAGACAGGCCGGCTGGGAGGCGGGGGGGTGTGGTCGTGCCACCTGGTGGGGGGGAAGATTAGCAGCGTTGTAAGCTTCCAATGATGATGAAAAAAACACCTGAGAAGACACCTGAGAGAACATCTGAAAAATCACCTGAGGGGCATGAAGCGCACCTGAGCGGGCAGGAGTGGCCGCAGTCAAAGGGCTCGCCGCAGGGGAGGCTGCAAGGGGGGCACGCCCCGTAGTGACAGCGATGCAGCTGTGATTATAAGGGGGGGAAGGGGATGGCAAGGGGGGGGAAGGGCTTGTATTTGTCGCCTGGGGTGTGCCCTCCTTGCAGAAGAGATGGCAGAAGAGATGGCAGCAGAGATGGCAGCAGAGATGTGCATACAGGGGAGGGTGCATGCAGGGGAGGGTGCATGCAGGGGAGGGTGCATGCAGGGGAGGGTGCATGCAGGGGAGGGTGCATGCAGGGGAGGGTGCATGCAAGGGAGGGTGCATGAGTCACTCACCCGACAGGAATCCCCGTGGTGGCATGTGGGGGGCACGGGGCAGCGCATGTGGCACCTGGGAGGGCGCTGCTGCTTCTCCGCTCCACAGGGGACCTGAGAGGCATGGAGGGGAGAAGGGAAGGGAGCGAGCGAGCATATGAGGAGAGAGGGCAACCAGGGTCCGGGGGTATGGAGCAGTGCATGTGGCATCTGGGTGGGCGCTGCTGCTTCTCCGCTCCACAGGGGACCTGAGAGGCATGGAGGGGAGAAGGGAAGGGAGCGAGCGAGCATATGAGGAGAGAGGGCAACCAGGGTCCGGGGGTATGGAGCAGTGCATGTGGCACCTAGGTGGGCGCTGCTGCTTCTCCGCTCCACAGGGGAGGGGACCGGGGAGGCATGGAGGAGCGAGGGGAGGGAGGTAGAGGGGTCTGCGTATGAAGAATAAGGGGAATGAGCGGCACAGCACCCACTGATAGGGGCATGGCGAGGCAAGGCGTGTGGCACCTAGGTGGGCGCTGCTGCTTCTCTTCTCCACAGGGAACCTAAGAGAGCGATGGAGAAGAGAGGGGGGAGGGAGAGGAGGTAGAGGGGGCAGCATGGATGAGGTGCACAGCATGCACTGTGAAGGGCAGTGCATGTGGCACCTAGGTGGGCGCTGCTGCTTCTCTTCTCCACAGGCCACCACCTGAGAGAGGCATGGAGAAGGGAGGGAGAACTGGGAGAGGGCAGAAAAAACAAGAGGGGAGAGCAATGAAAGTTGTAGTACATCCAACAACAAACAAGAGAAGACGAGGGTGAGATGACGAGAACGAGCCTACAGAGTTCTTATTTAGAAATCGGATGTGGAGAAGTCCAGAAAAAAAAAAAAACAAATTCCTGAAAAGAGTATTTTGCAACCCAACCAAGCTTAAAATGCAATAGAGAGAGCGTGACTCACGGAAAAAGCAGTGGTGCCACAGAAGCATGCAATGCGCGCTGTAACAGGGCAGGGCGCACAGGGGCCGCTGGAGGGGTGGGAGGGAGAGAGGAAAGCAAAGAACTAAGACATCGCTAAGAGAAGTGGGAATTCAGGGAACCAAGGCATCGGGAAGAAGTTGGAAAGCATGGACAGCAAGCAGGCAACGCATGGGGTGAAGGTAGGCGGGGAAAGTTACAGGGAGAGAGGTACAAGGCACTGTGAAAGGGGTTAGATGAGAAAGGGAGGAGGGCAGTGGCACTGTTAACGGAAGTTGGGGGCTTAGCTGACCTGTGGCAAGGAGCGGGACACTTGTGGTTACCACACCGTAGCTTGCGACCGCACACCTGCACACAGAAGCATGAAGAAATAAAAGCTTAGCGTAAGACCCCCGGGAACGGAAATCGGCGCGTGCAAGAGAAGGGGATAAGAGCAAAGAAGAGAGTAACAAGAAGAACAAGTGGCGTGCAGATGCCACTTTCTGCCCTTTGAGTCAATTCAAAAGCGTGTGGGACTTTTGAAATGACTCAAAGGTCACCTCGTTACACTGGCACACCACACGCTTTCAGTCGACTCAAAAGTCGAGAGTCGCCTCGTTTTGAGTCGACTCAAACGAACAAGTAGCACGCAGCCAGCCTTGCAGCCTCATGTGGGCACGAAGCACTTGCATGCAGGAGGGCAGTTGGTTGGACGGAGTACCGCAGCTCACAGTGCCACTTCTTTCCCCCTTTACTCAACTCACAGGAGGATGTATCTAGTCTCAGTGGGCTGCGGTGTGTTTTTTAGGCGCCTCAAAACTAGCATCAGTGGGCTGCGGTGTGTTTTTTAGGCGCCTCAAAACTAGCATCAGTGGGCTACGGTGTGTTTTTTAGGGACAGCACCTTAAGACACACAACACAACAGTATACCCTGAGACCGGTCAGCGAGAACCCTCACCTCGGGGCAGGGGGGGCAGTCGCCAGCACAGCAGCGGCGCTTGCACAGGTGGCGCCCGCACGGCCTGCCACGCTGGCAGCGGCGATCACACAGATACTCCTGGTGGCAGGGGAGCTGATGGGTTTGGAAAGAGAGCAAGCAATAATTGGAGGAGGGAGAAGGGAGAGGCTGTGTTGGGGTGCAAAGATCATTGACAAAATGAATCTCACGGCCTGTCACACTGCCAGAGGCAATTGCACAGGCATACCTAGCTGGTTGGGGCCGAGAGGAGAAGGACGAAGAGAGCGGGTGTGATGGATGGGAAAGGAGTGTTAACTGAATTGACCCACTGCACTGCACCGCACCGCACTGCCTGTCCCACTGGCAGCAGCGATCAAGTACAAGCCGACACTTCCTTACTCAGTCCGCCGCACTGACACCCCTTGACCACCACAATCATACAAGTTACAAGCACTCCCCCACGTGATGCATCTTCTCCGTACGCACATGTCATGCAATGCTTTGCAATACCATGCACCCAGATTAGGCACAACAAGCACCTTCTCGTTATAAGGCTCTCGCTCACCTCTTTACTGACTCTGCCACACCGGCACCCCGTCACCACCACAATAAGGCAGGGTTTAAGCACACGTGGCGCATCTCTTTACCACAAACACATGTCATGCAATGCCATGCAACGCAATGCAGCAGTACAGGGCAAGATAAGCACCACTTTGTTATAAGCCTCTCCCTCGCCTCTTTCGTCACTCCACCGTACCAGCACCTCTTCACCACCGCAAGGGGGGTTTTCGAACACTCCCCCACGTGACACCTCTCCGCACACACACACACACATCCCATGCGATGCACCAACCCACTCAGGGGAGTGGTTTGATTCAACTCAGACACACAAACTCCCCTTTCCTTACAAGGATGACGTCTGAGACGCCTCAAAAGTAGTCACAACCACTCCCCCCCGCTCTCTATCCTTTCCTTTCTTACAGGGATCTCAACTCTTTCGTCACTCCGCCGCACCGGCACCCCTTCACGACCACAATGAGGCACGTCTTGGAGCACTCCCCCACATGGCACCGCTCCACACACACGTGCCATGCATGCATGCACCGATGCAACCGAGTCCATCCTAGTATTTTCACCTCTTTAGTCACTCCGCCGCATCGGCACCCCTTCACCACCACAATCAAGCAGCTTTTCGAGCACTCGCCCACGTGACACCTCTCCGCACACACGTGCAATGCAATGCATGTACCCACACAACCAGCTTTTCATAACAAGCCACTCACCTCTTTAGTCACTCCGCCGCACCGGCACCCCTTCATCACCACAATAAGGCACGTTTTCGAGCACTCCCCCACGTGACACCGCTCCACACACACGTGCCATGCATGCATGCACCGATGCAACCAACAGTCACAGGAGTCTCACTCACCTCTTTCGTCACTCCGCCGCACCGGCACCCCTTCACCACCACGATAATGCACGTTTTCGAGCACTCCCCCACGTGGCACCGCTCCGCACACACGTGCCGCCCGCAAGCCAAAGGCTTTTCGCACGTCGCCCCACAGGGAAGCGCCTGCTTGTCACAGGGTAACCCCTCGTACGATTTCTTCCCGCACGGGCAGCTTCGCCTGCCCGAAAGCGGGCATTCGCCGCAGTCCCCCGCATGGCACTCCACCTCGCACTTGTGCCGCCCGCACGGAAACTTTTTCCCGCAGATCTTCCCGCAGCTGAAATTTCTTTTTGCGCAGGGAAGGGTTTTTTTCACCTGCCCGCATCGGCAAGAAAAGCTTCCCTCTCGATCGCAGGGCGGGCAGCTACCCGGATGACACGTGGCGTCGCAGGAGTGGATGCCGCAGGCGAGGCGGCTGCCGCAGCGGGCAGCGCAGGAAAATTCATGCTGCCCGCAGCGGCAAACATCCTCTTTCTTGCCACAGTGGCAGCAGGAGCGAATGAGCTGGGGACACGGGGGACAGGGGCCGGGGTGACACAGCAACGTGCATTTATGACCACACGCCACGTCAGCTTCCCTCTCCGCCTCCCCTCCCCCTCCTCCTCCGCCTCCGCCTCCCCCTCCTCTCAGCTCTCTCTCACAGGGTTCCCCACAAGAATGGGGGGCCAGCCAGGGATCAAAGGGGGGATCCTTCACCCGCCCGCAGTAGCATTGGTATTCCCGAGGCAGATCACGCTCAGGATACTCGGTTCGGCACTTGGGGCAGTGCCACGTGGCAGCTACTGGTTGGCCCTTAGAGGAGGAGGAGGAGGAGGAGGAGAGAGAGGAGGCTTGGATTCCCTGTCTAGCCCACGACTGAATACAGACAAGATGGAGTGAACAGTAACAGCCGCCCCGGCAGGACCAGATCGGATCTGAGGATCTGATCCTCTCCAGGCACACCAGACAGCTGGCGCCGCCCGATTGGACGGCGTTCAGGTGGTCCCGGATCTTCTCCAGACCTGCTGTGAAAGTAGGATCGGCAGAAACAGGTTCGGAAACGCCACTCTCCGCCCTCCCCCCTCCTCCTCCGCCTCCCCCTCCCCCTCCCCCCCCCCTCCCTGCTAGATAAGCCCCGAAAATCGCCTCTTCTAGCCGTTCCACACTAGCCTTCCCCTTGGATCGCCCTCCCCCTTCCGCGCCTTCCCCCTCCCCCTCCGCGTCCGCCTCGTCCCCCTCCCCCTCCTCGTCGCTGCTGTCAGAGAGCAGCGCGGGGAACTGCTGCGCCAGGCGCGCGGGGTCCGTGATGAAGGGGAGCGGGCGCATGGCGGAGGGGAACGCGGAAGGGAACGCGGAAGGCTGGGAGACCACGGCGGAAGTGGGGAATCCGCCAGCGGTAGGAGCAGCGGAAGACGAAGTGGAACTGGCGGCGGCGGTGCTGCTAGCGCTGTTGCTTGCGGTACTACTATTACCCCCCATGCTACTATAAGTACCCATGCTACGGTTCGGTCCCCACCCCCCTGCTCCCCCGCCTCCAGCACCGCCGCCCCTGCCTGGTCCGCTTCCGCCTGTGCGCGCATCCCCCCCTCCCCTTCCGCTTCCCCCGGCTCCGCCAGACCAGTTGGAGCTTGCGCCAATGCCCGCGCCGGCTCCTCCGCCAGCTACCCCCCCTCCGCCCGCTCCCCGCCCGCGTCCGCCTACAGTCCCGCCGCCGTCGCTAGCGCCCCCGCCCCTGCCTCCCCCTCTTTTCGCGCCACGCCCGCCGCTTCCCCCTCCGCGATCTCCTCCGCCACTTCCGCGGCCCTGCGCTGCCGCGGGCCCGCTAAACGCGGGGTTTGGCCCGAGAATTCCGGAAGACGTGAGTTGCGGTCGAAGCAGTTGCGGCGGCTGCTGGCGCTGCGGCTGGCGCGCGCCTCGTCCGCGTCCCGCCTGACGAGACGGCACCTCGCTCCACTCCCCGTCATCCATAGTTACGAGAGGTAACGCGTCAAAAAATACCGGATTAACCCTGCACTAACAGCTATTCCTCTCACTCCATTCGCCGTCGTCCATTGCTACGAGAGGTAACGCGTCGAGATCCGTTTTATCCCTGCATTATCCGTGTTACCCTTCGCTCCATCGCAACGCTTCACGCAGAGGGCGTAAGGAACCGCATTCGCAAAAGGCAAGTTATTCATTAATAAGGGAAGAGCAAATACAAGCCGAATATAATGGTTTTTCCAAGACTAGGAAATTTCGACATAGCCTAAGCGCTATGAGGACGATTTATATATTTTGTAGGAAAAGGGGGAAAGAAAGGAAAGGAAGGAAAGATGAAGGAGTAAGAAGAAGTGGTAGGGAAAGGAAGAGGGTGGTAGGAAGAGAAGGGAAGGATAGAAGAAGGGAACAGAAAGAGGGAGGTGGGAAGAGAAGAGGAGAGAGAGAGAGAGACTAAGGAGAAGGAAGCACCAAAGGACCAAACACGGCAGCAACCCGCACGACCGCACGGGCACAGCGTTTCAAGCACAGCCACTATTGTTTTTTACACATATGCATCATATATATACTGCATATCAGCCACACTCTCGAAGCACCCTGTGACGTGGTGCCAAGTTCCCTGCCCCGCACCCAGTGGGACTGGTGCGGGCATCCACCCGTCGTCGGACCTCCCTAACTGCCGCACCGCATGCTGGATCATGCATTGAGCCTGCGCGCGCTGCAGTGCAACGGAGAGGCGTGTAGTGAGTCCTGCCTCAAATATCCGTGCCGATCCGTCATCCCCCCCACCTCTATCCCTCCTCCGCTGTGCTATCCTCTTTGCGCAGAGCCCCAGAAACTGACGCAGCGGCTCACTCAGAAGGCCAAAGGTCTCCGCCACGCACGCGTAAAAGTGTGGTGCCGGCTGCAGCCCCTCTAAGTGCGGCCCCCAGTGACGCAGCTTCTCCTGCACCCGCCTAGCTGCTGCCACTCCAATCTGTGTGGGGGTCGCCCGTCTCAGCTGCACGTTCCCCTCCCGCTGTGGATCCGCTATGGAGACATCCACAAGAACCATCAGACCCTGGCCAACGTCGCGGCAGGTGAGGTCTGGAATGCGGGAGGCGGTGCCTACACGGCCTGTGCGTCCGACTGGTCCCTGCTGTTGCGCTGGCTGCTGCCCTGTCTGGTCCCTTGGTGCCCCCTCTCCGATCGTCTCTCTCCCCCTCTCCTCTCCTCCATCCACCTGTCCTCTCCCCTCCCCCTCCCTACCCTCCCCCAAACCTCCCGACCCCCCTGCTCCATCCCCTGCTGCCTCTCTCACTCCCTGGCCCTCCCCTCCCAATCCCGCTGCCCCTCCTGTACCTCCGTCCGCTCTCTGCTGCTCCCGCCCCTGCCCCGCCCCCGAGGCCGAACCTGGAGGCGCGGCGCCCTGGGCCCGCGGCCTCCACTGGCTCTCCTGCTGCTGCCTGTGCCGTCCCCCCTCCCCGTCCTGGCCCGTCTGCTCCCCCTGCCGTCCCCTCTGCCCACCTGTCCCTCGCTCCACCTGACCCCGCAGCTGGTGCCGTCCCCACTGTCCCCCGCCACCCGGCTGTCCCGCCTCGCCTCTCCGCTCCCCCGGTCCCTCAGCCCGTGTCCCCTCTCCCACCACTGGCTGTCCCAGTAGTCTCGCTCGAGCCGCCTCCAACTGTGTGAACAGCGTAGAGTCCTCCACCTTTACCGCGAAGCCCGCCTCGACCGCAAAGTCTCGAAGCATGTACTTCACCGTGTCGTGGATGGTAGTGGCGACCCCGTAACGCGGGCACCGAACCGCGTGATGAGGCACCGTCATGTCGTCAATCGCCTGTCCGCAGGAGCACTGACCTGCAAGGGCTAACTGGGGGATAGGGAGACCAAGACGAGAAGATGAAGCCGCCTGCCACAGCGCCTCCGGGATGCGCAGTGGGTCGGCGTACGGCACCGACGTCAACCACGCTCCTGCACCTCCGCCCTGAAGGGAAGTCAAACGGGCAAGGTGCAAGGGAGAGGTGTGACGGGCACGCACGGCCTCCAAGGCATGCGCCTCCAGAAGACGGCTCGCTCCTGCAAAAAGGGAATCGGGGGAGGCAGAAGCGCAAGAGGGCCAGGGGGGAAGGAGAGAGAGAACGTCAGGAGGGAGACCCTCTAGCGCCGTCTGCAGAGCCCGGTCGATCTGCTCTGGCTCACCTGAAGCGAAGCTCTGCCGAAACACCTCGCCACACGCAGGGAGAGAACAGAGAATGGGTGCACACTGCACCCAGGAGCACACGAAACTCACCGGGGCCATGCGCGCCATGCGACGAATGCCGAAACCCCCGAGACGGATGGGGAGGAAGATCTGGTCTAGGGCGGCCTCTCGGACGTCCTCGCGACAAGCCCAGGTCCCTGAAGCTAAAAGCTGCTGAAAAGTCTCTCCCAGGCGTGCGTCCCACCGTGTAAAACTGGAGATCACTGCGGGCGAAGGAGGGACGGTCCTCGACAGGTACTGCGGACGAGTGCTGACACACGCCGAAAGAAGGCGGGCAGCTGTCTGGGGCTGGCGCAACCTCGGAAGCCAAGGTAGCACCCGCCCCATCCTCTCGAGACGATCCGGGAGACTCTGCTCCACGAACGAAACGGTGCCTACCGGTACGCCTGTCACGGTGAGCCCTCGGCGTGCGACCTCGATCCCTAGGCCCGTGAAAGCCTCCAGATCCCTGGACAGAAAGGACTCTGTCTGGTAGACGAGGCACTTGTGCGGCTGGGCTGCAAGGCCCATCTCGCCCAAGCGCCTCACGATCTCGGCAAAATGGTGCAGCACCCTGTCTGGGGGACCTAGCACGTACGTGTCATCGGCGTACGACCAGAGCTGGACATCCCCCTCCGCCAGAACCGGCTCCAAAGCAAGACGCTGTGTCAGAGCGTACAAGAAGGGGCTGAGAGGGTCTCCCTGGCGAGTGCCCCGCTCCGAGTGCATCGTGACCACTCCCGTGCCTGACCTGTAGTGGAGATCCGAGGGCGTCCCGTAGAAGAGGCCGATGAAGGGGATCAGACACTGAAACTCCGGACTGGCCTGCAGCGCCTGAAACATCCTGTCTCGGTGGAAAGAGTTAAAGGCATTCGCCACGTCTAGCTGCAGGACCACCCAGTCTGGGTGGTCAGCCAGAGCGCGGCGGACGCCTCTAACTACGACCTCTGTCCCGCACGTAACCCCCACCCCAAACTGCTGTGATGCCAAGAAGACCCTCGCCATCTGGTCACGTAGCTGGAGACAAACTGCCCGAGAAAGAATGCGGACCAAAACCTCGCCGATGGCAATCGGCCGAACATCCATGTTCGACTTCGCCAGAGCCACGAGGGTGGAGGACGCTAGCAAGGAGCGCGCAGCTGGAGCGCAACGGCCTCGGAGCCACTGCTGGTACACGGCCAGGAGGAAATGGAGACTCTGAGGGAAAGCTAGGAAAGTGTCTCGCAGGTGCTCAGCGACCCAACCGGACGGTCCTCCCGAAGAGCCCCGCGGAGCTGTGAAAATCGCGCGGCGTAAGTGATCCACCGAGAGCACGAGAGGGGACCCCTGGAAGCCAGACAGCCAAGCTGGGGTCGGCCTCTCCGCGTTGGGGTGCTTCGACTGCAGGCGCTGTATCGTCCCCTGTGTATCTGGGGCTGCCTCCGCGGACTCGAGAGCCGCGCACGCCCGTGAGGTCTCATTGCACGCTGCCAGACGAAGGCAACGTGCAATGCGGCGCTCATCTGCTGCAGAGGGATCGGTGGCGGTGCGTGACCGGTGACCTGTGCGGCGAGGAAGGGGTGTGCGACGGCCTAGTGCATCTGAGACTAGCTCAGCCCACTCACCTCGACCAAAGCGAGAGATGCGCGTTGCAATGGCAGCCGTGTGCGAGCGGTCGGGTGGCGTCGCTGGAACAAGGAAAAGAGTCGGCGCTGCAGCGAGGAGGAAGGTAGGGCCAGCAGCCTCCGGGTCCTGGGCAATGCGGACTAGGATCGCACTGAGGACGTCAAGATATCCTCCGCGGACCCTCTCCGGGACACGTCGGAGAGGGCGTGTATGGATACGCTCGGGCGAGAAGTACTCTGTCCAGTCCACCGAGTCGAGCGTCTGCCACTGTGCGTCGGTGAACTGCATCCCGGTCGCACGGGGCTGTGAGAGGGAAGGGATGATCGAGGCGGTATCATGGGCAGCCTGCGCCCTGCGAGCCGCGTCCGCAGGATGGCAGAAGGGAATGTGGTGCTGGAGCGCGCGTCGGTTCGCGAGAGAGCTCCTGCAGGTGGGGCAACTCACGACCTGGTCGGGTGATGTCGCCGTGTCGGCGGGGTCAATCGGGGCCGTGGCGTCGGAACTGGCTGTAGAGGGGACCCCGTGGGCGGCCTGAGCTCCGACAGGATCGCCTGGGATGAGGGGAGGAGACGACTCACCAGCCCCGCGCGGGGGGGGTGTCAGCGAAGATAGAGGTGGTGTCGCACAGGATAGGGCCGGGCCTCGTGCCGGCACCGGTGTTGAAGCTGGGGAGGGGGGACGTGGAGGTGAGCCTGAAGTGTGTGCCGTGGTGTGCTCCTGCCCCTCGGCGGGGTGCGGTTCAAGTGACGGCTCTGCTACCCCAGGCGGAGGGGTCTCGGTAGGGGCGGATGCCTCATCCCTACTGCTGGTGACCTCCTGCGCCACGGGCTGAACGGGGGGAGGCGCCACCCCGTCTAGGTGCGAGTGACACGGCCTCAGACCCCGGTCCGTCTCCATTGGGGTCGGGAGTGACGCGCCTGGCTGAGTGGCGGGGGGGATAAAAGAAGGGACAGACCGGGTGACCTCCGCATACGTCCGGGTCCGGTCCTGTGGGACTGGAAGGGTGGGGGCAGCCGGAGAGCTGCTCAGGCGGTGTATCGCCAGCAAATCTGAAATGCCAGCCCTCACCTCCTCTGGGGTCTCGAAGACCTGCCTGCCTGTAGGTGAGAGTAGGAGGGCTGGCAGGGTAGAGGGTGGAGTGGGGCGTGCTGGCTGAGCGGAGCTCGGGTGTGGACCCTGCCCTAGAAGGCCCCCTTGGCCCTCCCCAATCACCATGGGTTGCGGTAGGGGGTCGTCGACATGGAAGGGGTGGGAGGGATGGGAGGGGGAGTCGGTGGCGTCTGCCATGGGCGCATCCCTCAACCCGACGGCCCCCCTCCCAGTAGCGATCGCGGCCGCCGCCACCTGGGAGGGGGACACAGCACGGGAGGGGCAGAATGGGGGTGAGTGGGCTGGTCCGCTCCCATGGCCCTGTGGAGGTGCAGGAGCGGGGCGGGAGTGTAGGTTTGGTGGACGGGCTGTAGAGGTAGGGCCTGGTAATTGTTCAACGGGATGTGAGGTGGGGAGGGGCTCTTGGTGGGGGAGGGAGGGAGGGGGGAGTACGTGGGCTGACCCTCTGCCTCCTCTGCCCCTGTTCTTCCGCCGGCGGCCAACCTGGTTGTCCGCGCCTGTTTGTGAAGGAAGGGGGGGCTGTGGGGCCAAAGGGGTGGGTGGAGGGAGGATGGGTGGTTCGCCAGGCAGGGGGTGCTCTGTGTGCATCCCCACTCTCCTCGAAACATCCCCCTCCGTGGGAACAGATCGGGCAAGCTGTGTGTGGGGGGTGATGGCTGCCCAACGGGGCCACTCGTGGGGAACCCGGCCGGGAGAGGGGGTTGGAGGTGGGGGTCGAGGGGCTGGGCCAGTGTGGAGGTTAGAGCGAGGTACAAACGGTGGGGGGAGAGAGATTTGTGTGGGCTCTGTGGTGGCCTCTCCTGTGGGCCCCTCTACCCGGGTGCCGCCGCTCCCATGAGCCTGGGGCGCAAGCCCTTGCGGGTGGGTCTCGGCTGCCTGGGGGGGGTGGTGTGGGGAGGGCAGCCTGTTGGGTGGGCGTGTTGGGGCTGTGCGGCGACTCGGGTGGTTTGGGTGCCTGTAGCGTGTGGGAGAGGGATTTGGCCGCAGAGATGCTTCAACCTCCGAGATGTGTGTACTACCGGGTGGGGGGGGGCCTGGTGGAGGAGGGGGTAGTGGGCCGGTAAGGGGTGGCTGGGTGTTGGTAGGAGTCGGGGAGCATGGCTCCTCTAGGAAGACCAGAGCCCTGGCTGCTCCACGTGGTGCTCTAAGGAGCCCCTGAGGGTGGGGGCAGAGGTGTGCTGCCCTTGGGGGTGAAGGAAGGAGTGAGGGAAGGGGCGGGGAGGGGTGAGAGGTGAGAGAAGGGGTGCCCTCGGGTGACTCTGCTCTTGTCGCACCCGCGTGCTCTCCCGGTGGACCGCCTGCAACCGTGGGGTCAGGCGTTGGGGACGGAGAGGGGGGCTGGCCATGGAGCAGCGTGGGGGTCGGGGAGCACGGCTCCGCCAAGAAGGCCAGGGCCTTGGCTGCCCCCCTGGACACTACCGGGACCTGAGGGTGGGGGTGGGGAAGTGGTGCTCCTGGGGGCTGGTGGGCTGGAGGACGGGAGGTGAGGATGGGGGCTCCCTCGCGCGGCTCTGTCCTCAAGGTCTCCCCCAGCCCCTCCATCGGTCCTTCTGCTAGCATGGGGACGGGCATGGGGGGTAGAGGGGGAACCTCGACGTGAGGCTGCAGGGGGGCCGGGTCGGCCTCACCGTCAAGCGTGAGGTATTGGGCCAGTGGCCCGTCAATGTGCATCACATCCTCTCCCTCATCCTCCTCTATCGCTATCACATCCCCCTCTTCAGTGCCCACCCCGGTCGGGACCACCCTCCCCTCTCCTTCCCCTGTTGCCCCTATGTCCCCCAAGCCCACCCCGCCTGCTGCCGCTTTACTGCTAGCCCCTTTTGCAGTCTCTGCCGGCCCTGCCGGCCCTGCTGTGTGTTTCCCCGAGTTTGCTGCGGCCCCTGCCGCCCCTACTGGCCGTGCTATGGCCCTCCCTGCTGCTTCAGCTGCAGCCTCACCTTCTGCCTTTGAGGCCCCTGCCGTACCCTCTCTTGCTACAGCCGGGGCGGCACTCTCCCTCGCACCAGTCCCCGTTACCCCCTTCCCCGCTGCACCCGTAGCACCTCCCCCTATACCAGCCCCCGCTGTGGCCTCTGTCGCTCCTGCTGCAGTCCTTGCAGCCTCGACTGCTGCAGTCTGTAAAACCTCGCCTACCGTAATCTGCTCAGCCTCACCAGCCGCGATCCCTGTAGCCTCACGTGCTGCAGTCCCTGCAGCCTCACGTGCTGCAGTCCCTGCAGCCTCACCCGCTGCAGTCCCTGCGGCCTCACCTGCTGCAGTCTGTGCAGCCTCACCTGCTAGAATCTGCTCAACCTCACATGCTGCGGCCTCTGCAGCCTCACCTGCTGCGGCTATTTCAGCCTCACCTGCTGCGCTCCCTGCGGCCTCACCTGCCATGGTCCCGCCTGCAGCCTCATCCGCTGTGGTCCCTGCCGCCTCACCTGCTGCAGTCCCTGCGGCCTCACCTGTTGCAGTCCATGCGACCTCACCAGCTGTAGACTGTGCAGCCTCACCTGCTAGAGTCTGCCCAACCTTACATGATGCAGCCCTCGCAGCCTCACCTGCTGCGTCCGCCGCAGCCTCACCTGCTGTGGCCCCTGCAGTCCCGCCTGCTGCGCTCCCTGCAGCCTCGCCTGCTGCGCTCCCTGCAGCCTCGCTTGCTGCGCTCCCTGCGGCCTCACCTGCTGCGCTCTCTGCAGCCTCACCTGCTGCGCCCCCTACAGCCTCACCTGCTGCGCTCCCCGCAGCCTCACCTACTGCGCTCCCTGCGGCCTCACCTGCCATGGTCCCTCCTGCAGCCTCACCCGTTGTGATCCCTGCAGCCACACCTGCTGTGGTCTGTGCGGCCTCACCTGGTGCGGTCCCTATAGCCTCCTCTGCTGCGGTTCCCCCAGCCGACGCAGCAGCAGGTTCCGTGGCCCCTACTCCTGCAAAACCTGTCTCCATGGCCTCTGCCCTTTGCCTGGCCAGAGTCACGGTCCCTGCCGCCCCTTCCCGTGCAGCCCCTGCCGCCCTTTCCCGTGCAGCCGCTGCTGCCCCTTCCCTTGCAGCCTCTGCTGCCCTTTCCTCTGCAGCCTCTGCTGCCCCTTCCCCCACAACCCCCATTGCCCCTTCCCGTGCAGCCTTTGCTGCCCCATCCTCTGTAGCCTCTGCTGCTCCTTCACACACAAACTCACTTACCCCTTCCCGTGCAGTGTCAGCTGCAAGTTCCCCCCTGGCTCTGCCCTCTCCCGCTTCTATGTGCTTGGGGGTGCGGGTAGGATTAAGTGTTTTCACAAGTAATCTGGTTTGCGAATGGGAGGTAGCGAGTGAGTTGGAGGATCTCTCTACTGAGCATGCATGGGTGCCGCCCCCGCTGTCACCTGAAGGGGGGGTAGACTGGGATGGGGCAGCGGGGGTAGGGCGCGGTTTTGAGCGTGCTGGCTCCTCCTCGTGTATTTCCTCCAGTGGGGCTTGGCGTTCCTCTGTTCCATCCTCTTCAAAGGTACGCTTCTGGCCCCTAGGGTCAGATTGTGTGAGTGTTTTCGCTTGGTCAGGTGTGTGTTGTTTCTTCCTGACTGTTGAAGTGGGGGGAGTGGGAGAGTAGGGGGTGGCTCGGCTGCGGGACCTCCCAGATCGCCGAGGGGCTCCCGGGCCTGCCTTTCCCCCACTCGCGGGGTGCTGGGGCATTGTTACAGAGGCAGCATGCCTGGCGGTGGCGGTGTGAGTTGCTGGGGTTGGCTCAAGAGGGCGTCAAAGGGGGAAGGAACTCCCTGGCAGAGGCCGGGGTGCGGGGGGTTAGCTTGGGGAAAGGGGAAAAGGGTGGGGAAAGCGGTGCGCAGTGGGTGGAAGAGAGGGTAGAGGGGGCCTGACAGTTGGAGGGGATTGGGGCCCAAGGGGGGGGCGGGCTGGGGGCCGATTGAGAGGGGAAGTGTTGGCGGGCTGTAGTGGAGGTGGGGGGGGCGGGGGTGGTGTAGCGGTGGGTGAGCAGGGTGTGGGGACAGGTGGTGGGCCAGAGGTGGGGAGGGCAGGGCAGAATTCCACGGGAGGTGGGGGTGGGCAGGTGGAGCCAGGTGGGAAAGGAAGGGTGGGGAACAGAGAGGAAGGGGCAAAGGGTAGTGGGTAGTCGAGTTGGCGTGAGCCTGGTAGCGGGTAATGAGAAGGTTGGGAGGCGGGGGGTGAGAACGTGGGAGGGCAGAGAGGGCACCGAAAGGAGGTGCTGTGGTAAATGCAGGATAGGATGCGGGGCCGGGAAACAGGGGACAGAGGGAATTGGGGAATCGATGAAGGGTGATAGCTGCGGATGGGCGAGCCCCAGGGGGGAGGAAATATGGAGGGTGTTGGAGAAGGGGGAGACTGGGGGGGGTTGAGGTAGGGTGTTGGAGGGCACAAGGGGCAGGAACAGGGGGTGCAAAAGTTGGCTGGGGGAGGGAGAGGCGGTCTGGTGCCGCGGAAAGGCGGAGGGAGGTTGGGGACGGCACAGCCCAGGGAGCAAAAGCAAGGGGTGTAGACCTTGGCTGGGGGTAGGAACGGCGGTGTGGAGTTAGGGAGAGGTAGAGGGAGGCTGGGGTAGGTGGCTGGATTGCGCAGGGAGCAGGGGCAGGGGGTGTAGAGATTGGATGGGGGTGGGAAAGGCGGCGTGGTGCCAGGTGGCGGCAGTTGGGTCACCGAAGGGCCTGGCAGGGCGGGATGCAGAGGTGCAGCCCACGCTGGATGCGGAAGTAGCTGGGGGGGAAAGGGAGGCTGGAGGGGGAAGTACGGCTCGTAGAGGTGTGGGGGGCAGAGTGGGAGTGGGGAAAGCAGGAAGGGGGGTGGAGGGACGTTGTGGACAGGGGAGTGGGGGAACATGCGGGTGATGATAGGGAGAAGCCGGGGGGGGGGGAGAAGGGGGAGGTGGTATGAAGTGGGCAAGGGTGACGCACGGGCAGAGCGCGGCGGTACTAAGGGCAGGGAGACGGGAGGCTGGGGGGAGAAAGGCCTGCTTGGGGGCGTGGTGGGGGATAAGGGGAGAGGGGCGGTAATGCTGGTGGGCAAAAGGGGAGGGTGTGGTGTAGTATGATGAAACAGAATGGGGGGGTGGCGGACTGGGTGGGGCCCTGGAGGGTTGGGAGAACAAGGTGTAAGCTGCCTTTCTGATTTTTCCTGGTTTTTTCGGATTTATATGAATTTCTTTTTCTTTTCTTTTTTCCTTGAAGTTGTTTCCTCTTATTTCCTACGGTTTCCAGAAACAGGGCGGCCTCTGCTAGCTAAGCGCCGTTAGGGAAAGAGGTTAGGTGGCGGGGTGGCTAAAGCGCGCGTGTGAGGGGGAAAGGGGCGGTGTGAGCAGGGAGGTGACTATGTGGGTGGCGACGGGGTAAAATTACGACGTGTGGGTGGCATGCACGAGTGCGCGACGAGGCACGGCAGGGTGGGAGTGAGCAAAAGGGGAGTGGGGCGGCTTGTGTGCCAAACGTGGGCGGCTAAAACGCTCTAGGCAGAAAACGCGCTTCGGGAGGCGCGCAAGGGGAGGGCTGCTTAATCGCTACGAACGTAGCAATTTCGCCTCCCTCCGCGCTGCCTTTCCCTGGCGGTAAGCGCCCCGTGCGCGGTTCCGTCTACGTCGCGGCTAGATTGAACAGGCGGGGAAAACGAGTGCATGACTAAACATGATAGGCGACGAGAAAGCGTGCTTGGAAACGCGCGGCTCTTCGAATTAGGGTTACGATAAAGAAGGGCGCACCGAAAGGGAAGGAAGAGTGCTAACTACGGGCGGAAGCTAAGCTCAGTGACTTCGAGAGAGGGAAACCGCGGGAAAAAACTCGGTAGCAGCTAATCGCTTCGAATAGAAAAGCCGTGAGCAGAAAAGAGCGGGGGGATAAGGGAGAGTGTCGAGAGAGGGGATGGGCGGGAACACCGTGTCTGGCGGAGTTGTGGTTGTGAGTCGCGCGCGCTGTTACACTCCGCGGGCGAACTTCGCGTCAGCGCCCCACCTCCCGTTACACCGGCTGCAGCGCGTCCGCAGCGATCCCGCGATGGCGGGGTCGAACAAACGGTTCCGTAACACCCCGCGAGTTCCGTTTCCGAGACTCCTGAGGGTCGCGCGCGAAACTCGCGACCCCCGTCCCGTCGAACTCGACAGTCGAAACTAAAAAACTAACCGTTGGAAACGCTTATAACTATAACATAAACAACTATCACAATCACTTTGTCCTTAAGCAACTCGAAATAGTAGGTTTAGGAGGCTCCTTAGTAGGCAGCCATGGCTAGGTAAGCTAGGTCAAGGTAAGAGCGCCGGTGGGCGAGAGCAGTACTGGGCTGGGAGAGCAGTAAAGGCAAGTACTTGATAATGCACCATAAGCCTTTGTGTCAGATTTTTAAATTATGTATAATATTACAGCTATCTAGTGACGACAGCTCTCGTAGCTCAGTTGGTTAGAGCGTATGGCTGTTAACCATAAGGTCGGTGGTTCAAGCCCACCTGGGAGCGCTTTGTCACACCTCTTGCTTTTCTCCAAGGCCAATGATTTGTTCAATCAGACCAACAAGTTTTTGGTGTTCAACAAGGCCCTTGTTCGGCTGGGGCGCATCGAGCTCAGGCTCGGAAATCGGCCGCAGGAAAACAATCACCCTCAATCTTTCCTAGACGATCGATTGAGAGGTTATCAAGCCTCGAGATAAGCGGGTTGCTGCCAAACCTGAGCGCATCAAAATGCCTGTCGGATGGGCCTTTTTATGCTAGCGTTGTTTACCATATGTTGGTTCCATGAAATTGTCTCTTCTAGCAAAATGACGCACCATTGATGTGTGCATGGTGCGTCATCGAAAACCTGCACCATGCGGCGGATCAGTGATACGGGGCACCCTCACCGTGCCCCGATGTATCCTCCTCCCCTACTCCATCTCCCTCCTCCTCTCATGACCTCTCTCACCCTGACGTGCTTCTGCATCACTGACTTGGCCATCCCAATTTCGCTACTCTCCGCACCGCTGTCACCTCTCACCTCCTTGACAGCCTCCCTGCCACCCTTCCTCCTCTCCCCTCCTCCTTCGCTCCCCCCTGTACATCCTGCAAACATGGCAAGCTCAAATAGTCCCCCCATCCAAGCCATCCCTCCTTTGCTGCAGCTCCGCTCGACCTTATCCACATGAACTTGTGGGGGCCCTCTCCCTCCCCTTCCCGCCAGGGGCACCGATACATGCTTGTCTTGGTCGACGACCACAGCCGATATTCCACTGTTTTCCGTTTTCACACAAAGGATCAGGCCCCGCCTGTGATCATCACCTGGGTTGAGCAGTGCTGCACCCACTTTAAACTCCCCATCAGCCGCCTTCGTTCAGATCGTGGGGGTGAGTTTCTCAACCGCACCCTCTCCTCCTACTACGAAACCCACAGCATTCAACAGGCCCACACCCTTCTCCACTCCCCTCAGAAGAGCGGTGTCATCAAGAGTCGCATTCGTGAGATCACCAAGATCGCTCGCTGCCTTCTTACTTACGCCTCTACCCCACCTTCCCTCTGGAGTTATGCCCTCCTTCATGTCGCTCTCCTCACCAATCTCCGCTCCCACCCCCAGAGTCCCACCACCTCCCCCACAGAGCTTTGGTTAGCTACCAAGCCCGACGTTGCTGGCCATCGCGTTTGGGGCTGCAAGGCATACATTCTCATTCCTCAACCTGACCGCGCTGCTGGTAAGCTCGCATCTCGTGCCTTGGATTGCGTCGACCTTGGGCACAACCGCGACTCTTCCGGCTACCTGTTCCTTCACCCTCAATCCGGTCGTCTCACTCGCAGCATGACGTCGTCTTTGACGAATATGATCCCTATTACTCCACTCCTCCACTTGACCCTCTTCCCCCTTTGCTTGGACCGATAGTGTCCTCCCACCCCTCCTTCCTCCCACACCCCTCCTCCCACATGTCGATGTTCTGCTTCGTCCTCCCTACTCCGCCGATATCTACGACCTTGCCGCCCCTGCCTCCCCGGCCCATTCGGCGCCCCACCCTCCCCCCTCTCCATTCTCCTCCGCCCCAGCAACAGTGGCAATGGTGGGGGAAGCAGTAGCTGCAGCAGAAACAGTTGTGGGGGCAGCAGTAGCTGCAGCAGCAACAGCAGCAGCAGAGGCGTCACACTTAGGCGTAGCCGCCCGTTCCTCCTCTTTTCTCCTCCCTCGCATGCACACCCGCTCCCTTGACCCCACTCTCAGCCCCCCACCTCCCTCCTCCCTCCAGCTCCTTGAGGACTGCTATAAGGAGTTCCTTGACGTTCAACTGTATACCCCATTCCTTGCCCCGCTCTTTCCTGATTTCCTCGACTTTCCTGACCTTGGCGCTACCTCCTCCCCCACCATCTTCACTCCTACCACCTTCCAGAAGGCCATCACCTGCCTTGATGCGGACACATAGATTCCGGCGATCTTCCAGAGTTGTGAGGCGTTCATCCGCAACACCTCCTTTGTCGACGTTCCTCTCCCGGCCGGTGCCAACCTCGTAGAGGGCAAGTGGGTATTATGGGTGAAGCAGTTGGCGGGCGAGGAGTCGGTCTACAAAGCCCGCTACAACGCCAAGGGCTTAACATGGACTTGGATTGTGGATTTCTGGGCTACCTTCGCCCCCACCGCCAAACCTCCCACACTTTGGTGCGTCCTTGCATTGGCGCCCGCGACAATATGGAGATATGTTTCATGGATGTCTCCAACGCCTTCTTGTAAGGTGATCTGCACGAGTGAATCTTCCTGCGGTGGCCTCCTGATTTCCATGCTGCTTTCCTTGCAGACACCGTATAGCAGTTGCGTCGCCCGGTCTATTGCTTGAAGCAAGCGCAAAAGGAGTGGACTGCCAAACTATCCGCCACCCTCAGTCCCTTGGCTTCTCTGCTTCTCACTCTGACGCGAGTCTCTTCATTCGCTCCTCACCTCGTCGGTTCTTCGTTTCGGTATATGCCTACAGCATGATACTGCTTGCTGATTCCAAGGCCAAGCTCGCCCCACCCCCCCCCACCCTCCTCCTCCTCTTACCCCTATCTCGAGCTCGTTGGATCGCTCAATAGCGGCCGATGCCAACTTGGCTGACATCTTTACCAAGGCTCTACTTCGCCCTGCCCATCCGGCTTTTCTGCATCTCATTGGCCTTGCCCGCCCGGGCGCCCCTTAATTTAAGGGATGTTCATTACTAGCCTTAACATGCTATGTGACTGTACACCAAATGTGGTGTATAGTTGGGTTGGGACAACACCCAACTTTGGGTGTAGTCTTGCACTCGGGGTGCCAATCCAACCCAATTATGGTGGAGCCCCCAAATTGGAACCATTTGGTCCTTAGGTTGGCAACTTCTTGGGAAGTTGCCAGCCCAACCCACTTGGCCATAGGTTGGCAACAATTTCTCAAGAAGTTGCCGACCCAACTCACTTGGCCACACGTTGGCAACACCCTCCCAGGTGTTGCCAAACTAACCCAATGGGCCATTGGGTTGGCAACACTCCCCCAGGTGCTGCCAAACTAGCCCAATGGGCCATTGGGTTGGCAACACTCCCCTAAGCGTTGCTAAACTACCCAATGGGCCCTCCATTTCTAAGCCTCAACCATCATCTGCTCCTTATCAGCAACCCCAGTCAACGTCAGCGTCGGAACTAGACTTGAAAAAACGGAAGGAGGTTCTCTAGCAGGTTCTTAAGGACACCCTTCCTGTTCCCCCGTCTTCATCTCAACCTCAAACCTCTCACCCTAGGCCTTCGTCTTCACGTGACCATCCCTCACCTACCTTAGCCCCTGCTCCAGTTACCACAGCAGATGCATTTGACTCCATGGCCCCTGCAGACGACTCGCACCCGCTATCACTCTACGAAAACACTTCTTCTTCGCAACCCCCTCCTA